TGTGTACTACTAGTATTAATCTCAGTCTCCACCGTGTAGAAATAAAATAAAATATTCTAAGTCCCCACCGTCCCCAATCCCCATATGTCCTTAGATGCATTTTTCCCCTCTTTCTTAATCAGTGCTAATTTGGGAATAATCCCTTATAATCCTGAACGGAGCGAGTAGTTCTTTTGGGGCCAAAGAAGGGAGCAAGCCAAAACTTGGCGATTAAGCATGACACAAATAGAGGATCTTATTGAACATTAAAAAAAAAGAGGATTTTTGGGCGCTCCAGTTTTCAGGCCCAAAGAACAAGGGAAAAAAGGCCTAATACATTAATACTCCCTCTGTACTCATAATAAAAATCGTTTAGGATAATGTTTAAGTCAAACCTTGGAAATATAAATCATGAATAACTCTCAAATTGTTGAGTTTGAAAATGTAAAAATTATATGTATAGATTTATCTTGAAAAATATTTTCATAAAAGTATACATATATCACTTTTCAATAAATATTTTTATAGAAATAAGAAGTAAAAGTTATGTTTTGTAGACCGTGTCGCTGTCCTAAACGACTTTCTTTACGAGTATGGAGGGAGTACTCATATACATTCGACAAATGATGAAAACACTAGATGTTTGATTATGGGATCTGATGATTCATGATTGATTATATAAAAGAGATCTTCGAAATAAGCAGGAATTCATGTCGCGTGTCATACATGACAAATTCAAGCTCAGTAACCTGGCCTGAGACGGATGACCTCAAGATGTTGAAAACTTGAAATACTAGAGAAAATGCATATGCATGCTTGCATTAACTGTTGACTATGGTAGTTTACTCTTGTGTAGCAACTTTTTTTTCGTTTTTGGAAGGATTACGTAATGGCTGACTTCCTAGTGCTCCTATATTGTTATTAGAAGAGCTAGAAGCTATGCTTAATTATTATATTTACAATAGTTTAGTGTTAACAGAACGAGAAAACAATCAGAGATCTTTCGGCTAGCTCCATAAGACGATGGGCTAACTGATCTTGATTTGAAGTTTTATCCCTTCTAATTATTTAATATTAGGTTATTATCTAATTAATATTCGCATATGAGTGTTAATTCTGCATCCCCTGACCAAACCCTCCCACATTAGGATTACTTGTTAATGGTTGATCAAACTTGATCGATTTCCCCTCTGAAACAAGAAGTTCTGGACCGGGAGGTATAAGATCAATCACTTGGCGTCCATCCGATGCATCGACTATGGATATTTCATATCCCCTTTTCTTTACGCAATATTTTTCTTACTACACCTGTTGACGTTGCATTATAGACCGTATTGTTACTCTTGCTACCATCAGGATAGTGTCTCCTTCCTCGGTTTCCCCCCACATATATGAGATATTTTAAGAAATGAACGTCTTTCTTTATAGCAGGGTCGGGGGAAAGAATGGAAAAGACGATTTCACTATATTTCTTACCGGGAACAGGGCCTATCACAAAAATATTTTTTTATTGGGACGATAACTCTAAAAAGAGAGATAACGGAATAGTATACTCGTGTTGTTTAGCCAAAAGGAAGGAGATGGCAGCAAATTCCGTGCCCTTAATTTCACGACTCCTTTCGCTTCGCCATCGTCCGCCGTATGACAAGGACAGCGCGTGGCGCAGTATACGACAACGGTCAAATCTCCCGGCGCCTCCAGCGGGTAGGCACACGGTTGCACATGCATCGTCGCGTGACGCGTGGCGCGCACACGATCGAGAGGCAGAGCGCACGGGGTTATTACTTATTAGTATCGGATTTTAGGTAATACTTCATCTGTTTCAAAACATAATTACTTTTTACATTGGACTAATAATTTAACATTACAACGGATTTTACATTGGACTAAAAAAATACCCATACATTACAACGGATGAAGTCTATTTTAATCTTATTATTGTTATATGGTTTAGTTAAGATAAAATTTACTGTCGGAATTCGCTTAGATATATTTTTTTTTAGAAAATCGTGAGCTGCACTTAGGAGTCGGATCGTCTCAAGTTAGTATACGAGTTTTTTTAAACAAAATTCTTATATGATTACTTCTGTATTATCAAAAGTGAACAATCTTAGAAACCGACTCAAATATGGATATGTATTTTCAAAAACAAACGAACTTAAAAACCGACTCAAACACGGATCAAACACGGATGACGTATCAAAATACCGGTAAAAGTATCTTCATTTTTTATAATATAGTAGAGATAGATATTTACTTAGAAAACATCTGCAAGATTTTTGTCCCCAAATCTTTATTTCTGTTGAGGTGCTAGCTACACAATTTTTTTAAAAAGGTTATATATTAATAAAATCAATTTAAGATATGAACCCCAATATTCTAAGACCATTACATGAGGCCACATATGCCACTGCTTATTGTAAATGATGTAAGGAAATGCTCTCCTAGAACAAAATTAAAGATGCGCAAGCACAGTACATCTACTATTAATTTGTGAGTTTAGTGTTACAGTATTATAGTATATCACATATCATAGCAAAGAAAGAACGGCGGAGTCCAAAGCCCGTATAATAGCCGCGCTCTTTCGCAGTACGTACGTACTCGATCGGCCGCGTACAGAAAGGAGATCAAGCGCGTCTGCATGCTCAAGGCCGCCGCGTACGTTGCGTACGTGTGGTTTGACCTCGCGCGACGCACGCAGGAGATCGAAGAAGGCATTGCGGTGCGTGAGGCAGGCGTCCATGTGAGAGAGTTGCCAAACGGCTCGACCGACCGGTGGTCCTGTGCGCAAATCTGATATACTTTGGCCAACCGGCTACTTTCGGTCACAACTCGCGCATGTATATACTCCGTCTCATTAGATCAGGTGACGCATCCACGGACGAAATCACGCATGATATAGGCGTGCGTTGTGTTTGTGTTTGTATTGTGTTTAAAGAAAAAATAAATAAATGAGCCGTGCCATATATAAAACGATCATATATCATCACAAGTCATATGTATACTACTTCTGTTTCAAGTTATAAGACTTTCTAGCATTGTCTATATTTCTATATATGTTAATAAATCTAGACATATATGTGTGCCCAGATTTATTAACATCTATATAAATGTGGACAATACTATAAAGTCTTATAATCTGAAATGGAGGAAGTACCTTATTTTTAGGAAATTTACAAGATATTTAAACTGTGGATCAATCGGAAGATATTTTTTTTCTCAATATATGTAATATACAAACACAATATATAATGTAAATAGGATAAAAATGGATATATGATGTGTCCCATCTGGTACAAGGTTGCTATATTTTGGGACTGAAGGAGTAATTTTACTCTCTCCCCCGGCAGTTCAATCTGGGCGGCAAGGAGGCTCGTAGTTGGAGCCGCACGACGGCTTAGACTTGGACGCCTCCCCGTTAACCCCGCGCAGCAACACGCGGCGCGCCACCGGGCGGCGGCGCAACACGGAGCCCGCACCGGCATTGCCCGGCGCAGAGGCGCCGTTGGCGGCGGCGGCTGAACCATGCAGCAGCGGGCGCGCCGCCGCGCCATCGCCGATCAGCCGCCTGGCGTGGTCTCCACCGCCGGCCGGGTGGAACGGCGGCGCTGCGCCGAGACCACGCCGGAGGAGCGTGGCGGCGAGGAGGACGGCGAGCAGCAACGACGCCTTGCAGTTGCAGGCAGAGAGCCCCATTTTCTATCGAGCCAAGTGTGTTGGTTGTTCTAAGCTCTAGGAGATCAGGAAATGGAGGGTCTCGACCTTGAGCTGATGTCTATTGTTAGCTGGCTTTCACCGAGTGCATGTACATACAGTACACTGGAACCTTTTATAGACGTAAATCCATGCATTGCCAATATCACGGCAAGTCAGGTCATACAGGGGGTGAAACTACCGAAAGTAGTTGTAAATAATTTTGAAGTACACATCTACGCAATTTCACAGCAAACATACAGGAATAGTGGATTTCAAAATTCGGATTCCGTCGAATTTTATGAGGAACAGAATTCAGGAATAGTGTACTCGTGCGCTGCTGACGCATCACGTATTCACGTCAACATGGTAAGATTTCTTAATATGTAGTTATGTACTTCCTCCGTTTCACGATGTAAGTCATTTTAGTATTTTCCACATTCATATTGATGTTAATAAATCTATATACATACATATATATATATATATATATATATATATATATATATACATATATATATATATATATATATAGATTCATTAACATCAATATAAATGTGACAAATGCTAGAATAACTTACATTGTGAAACGGAGGGAGTTACTTACTTCGTGCCACAGAAAGGTTTCTGGTGCCGAAGAAACTGAGATCTCAAAAGCACAAAGGGAACACATGGGAAGTGAGGCAGAAGATGCTGACGCAGTTCCCGCCAACTTTGACCTTGTCTAACGAAATGCACCGTTTCCCTTTGCCTCAGGGCCCTTAAAAGTCACAAGCGAAAAAAAAAAACTGGGGATCAGTACATGGAAATTCCAACAAACTTCTTAGATGGCAAACCAAAGTGATATACCTAGATGGCCACATGAAACCAGGCAATGACAACAAAATGGCTAGAATCAACAAAATCTAAAGCCCAAATTGCTCAGAGCATGCATACCTTATCATCAGATCAAGTGCCTACCTTTTATGACCACTTCTGAATATTTTTACCCAATGCGCGTACTGTACAAGGTACATTTCTAAATGGGTAAATGATCAAGCAGAAACTGCTTGGAAGTGGTAATGATACTTCTAGCAGAGGCTGAAGGGATCTGCTGAGGAATATGCATTTCAAACCAGCAAAGAAACTGCACAAATGGACAATTAGGGGTGTAAGTAAGGGGAGAGGAGAGAATAAGATGGGCAATGCATTGGTACCTCAGTAGTATCTTCTGAGAAGCTCAGTTCCAGGTACATGTAATGGCGGGGTCCCTGCTCACACTTAAACATTCATCCCCTCAAATATTTTCTTGATTGTTTATCTATATAAACTTGTTAGAACATGGCATGGAGAATTAATACAAAACTGTTGAATTAATGATGGTTCACACGCCTTTGGTTATGGCTTCTGAAAGTGTTAGATCGAATTGTTTACACAATTGCGTACAACAATTACTGATGAACCATAAATGGTTTGTTTTTACATAAGTTGACAATCACTAAGCCAAAGATAATTGTCTTTCAGCACATCTAGGTACTATTCCCTCTGTCCCAATAAAAAAATGATTTCTGGCTATGTATGAGGTTTCTACAAAATTACAAACGAACTGTAATGAACCAACCAGTATATAGAAGTTAGGGAGAATCAGTTTATTTTATGGCCCCCAAAGAGTGTGCACTGTAGTTTACAATCGGTTCTCTGCACTAGGAATATCTGAGTGTGCTGGACTCCAACTTGATTCGAATCTAACATCATCAGATCTCTGGTTTTTCTATAAAATTGAAACAAAAAACAATTAGACGAATTGAAGAATTGATCATTATCCATTTCAACAGATAAAACTACAGATAGAATAAAAATGCTAGTAGAGAGCAAGTAATTAAAAACACAGTAGGATGTTTAAGATGATCAGGAACTCTTACAGCCAGGTGTTTTGATATTAGACTTGGTGGTGGAGGTGGAAGTTCTTCAATCTTCATGTCCTTGCCAGACATTGAAATGTTTTGCGGAGTTGGAAAGCTACAGACAGAGTAAATGTATCAGCAAGTATGCAGATAATAGACTTAGGGAGTTTCTTAATACGTAGTAGGTCGCTAGTCCCCCGCATGGATGAGGTTGTTTTTTAGTTGTGAGTTTTTTCATGTAAAGGCTAAGGCATGTTGGTGGTTTGGGTGAGGGTGGGCGCTGTTCCCTTCCCCGTTCCTGTTTTTCTCCCCCTTCTTACTGAAATGATATGCAACTCTCTCGCTTATTTTCAAGGGAAAAAGGTATCCAGATTAACCAACGAGCATGACATCCATGAATATACATCTAAAAGGGTTCGTAGGCCATACATGTCCAGGTAATCTTCGTAGGTAAATTCAATGGCACAACTTGCTTAACGGAAATGCCTCGTATTTTCGCACACTCTACGCACATCCATAAAAAACGCCATGCCAAATGTATTATAAAATTATCCATGGCAATATTGAGCAGGATATCATATTACAAGTTACACACAGGAATGCAGTTGTATAAGAAAGTTTTTAAATTCCCTTTGGTTACTTTTCAAACAACACTAGATTGGCAAAAACAAAAGCTTTAGCTCGTCTTAACCCAGCCATCTCAATAGTTTTTCATGGATGTAAGAAAAAGAATTACAAAGAGGTGATGAGCAAGTTGAATCTTATGAACCCCATTTTACAAAAGAAACACCTGATGAACGAAATTGGGACTTCATAGAATGCTCCGAATCCTACATTCTAAATTGTGTGAAATTCTGCATATATTGCTGCATAGCACTCCAGATAAATGTTTCCATTCACCATGATTAAGGTTATGCATCTGACTCAAATGTGCCTTAATATGACTATACTTGAGTACTTGACTACCATTAGACTATTGGCAGGTAGTTAATAAAGGAACATAACCTAGATAGTATCATAATTCATAAGATTAGAACACCAAAGTTATGCCTTCAGGACAAGAATGCAAATTATTCATGCATATTTGGAGTTCTGGACAAATTTTGAAATACTATTAGTTCCATATATCTCGATCTATAGTATGCTCCAAAATTATACCAAATAATCAAAGCAGATACCTGGTTAGTTTGGTGGATCACTGGATCATGTAAAAAACAATCAAAATATGATCTAATTCCTTGTGCCCTATATAGTCTTGGAGAGAATCAGAATATCAACAGTTTTTTGTACCCAGTGAGCATTAATGTTGTGCCCAGTCATTTTACTAATAATATACCAAAAACTGTATCTAAAACCATGGAAAGTATATGCAGAATTTCAACCAATGTGTAGAATAGTCGGAGGAGTAATTTCTTTTGGATATTTATCTCTTTCAAATGGGAGCATGGATAACAGAGTCATATGGAGTAAATTGAAAGAAAAGTCACCCTACCTAATCATATGAATCTAAAGGAGAAAAAATAAATGTTCTGGGTGTTTGATGTACACGAGAGATGCTACTTATTAAGAACGAATCAGAGATATAGTGACTATGAATTGATCCATGCATGAGTCAAAGATCTTACTTGGATTTATCCATAAGACTCCCTAAATATGTGTCATCTTTAGCTTCAGCAGGTTTATTTTTAACCTGAGGGATAAGGCACCAATATCAGCATCTGAATAAACTAAAGAGCAAAATGAAACATAGCATATGCATCCATCTTTCAGCTCCCCCCTTTTTTGTTATGGGATGGTGGTTCCTGTCTATCAACTAAGGCAGCCGTGTTATCACAGTAGATCACGGTTGTCTCATATGCCTTGAACAAAATGAAAGATATTATCGATGAATAGAAGTCTCCCAGACTAGCTCCGCAGTACGAGCCCCGCCCTACGCGCTCTACGTCTGGAGGATCTGCGAATTCCCCCCTCGGGCAAAATAAGAACAGCACCCACATTCAACCCGTGATAACTTCTTCGGATTTGCGTGAACTAGCAGACGGGCACGGACACACTTTCCCTAAGAACAACTCTTGGCTTTTCTTCACTTCAGCACTTCCCCTCGCAGTGTTCTAGCTCATTTCTCTGGAGAGAACTATCCCTTGTGGTCCAAAAGGCACATTTGCACCTAATCAACTGAAGCAGATGCAAAGCCTACACTGGCTTAGCTCTGCAGATGTTTTCAGGACGAAGACAGTGATACGATACCACTCGCCCCGGGTTCCATCGATCCCGTCATCCCTGGATCCAGGGAGAACGTTCAGGAGAGATGTTGGGCTCTAGATATGCGAGTGAGATACCCACCCTCGGTCATGACCTGGGTTGAAGAAGGAATCTATTTTCTTGGAAGCAAAGAAAGAACTCCGGTATTCCGACCTTAGATTTTTGCTCTGTAGGGGGCGAGTGGTATCGTATCACCGTCTTCGTCCTGAAAACACGAAACCCCCGCTTTTGCCAGCATGACAGCAAGCACAGACTGGCATCAAGGAGCAGACCGCTCCCCCGGAAGCTGTGGTCAGTCACCTCCTTTCGGGGTCTGTCTGTCTTACCTACCCTCGAGTCCGATCTCGGGTAGGCGCTTATGGCAAGTCCCATTCCCTAGACCTTATCCGAGGATCACCTCCTCCTGCACAAGCGGTGCAGCATGTGGTTTAATTCGATACAACGGGGGCAGCCCGTGCGCTAATTGGGCTTTGAGCCCTATCCTCGTTTCGAAATAAAGGACCGTAGTGAGGATCGATCCCGGATAAGTGAGTCAGTGTAGGGACAGAGGCAGTCCAACGTCAATCCCCGGGCGCTGAAGGAGCTCCTGAACAGACTCCAAAACGGTCGGGCGCTGCTGCTGGATGGAATGCTTCCGTTCCGGGGCGCCATGATCCTTCTATCAGGAATAATCGAGGGCACTGACTGCGCTTCGCCATGTACAGAAGAGGAAGTCCAAGAACTTCTTCAACGCCCATTTCTTCCTCATCTGCTGCTGCCTTAAGCCGGCTACTGGATCACTCCAGTGCTTTGGGTACTAAGGACCCTCTGCCATCCATTGCAGCAGAGCCGTTTCATGAGCGGGGGGGCTAAGCGCAGTTTGGTCGACCAGATCAAACTATTTCACTTATGATCTGGATGTGCCGGTACCAAGAAGCGTGAAGCTGATAGTCCATCAGATGAGGCCCGCCCGGGGACGCTTTATGCCATCCGCTCAAGAAAGCGTGGCTCTCAAGCTCATTTTGAATCATGCAAAAAAGTTTTCTTAGTTTTTAGTATAGTTATTTAAAGAATAGATAGAAATAAGATTGCGTCCAATAGGATTTGAACCTATACCAAAGGTTTAGAAGACCTCTCCCATTCATAAGAGAGTGGTAGTTGTCACCGGAAGCAGGGCCTTAGCTGGTGATCCGGGCTGTTTCCCTCTCGACATCCCTAAAAAAGACCTAAAGTTAAGGATTTTTCAATGGGTAATGTTGCTCCAATACCTAACCAAAGAGCTACTGCAGTACCGATTAAAAAAACGGTTGTAGCTACTGGGCGACGAAATGGATTTTGGAATTTATTGACATTCTCTAGAAAAGGTGCCTGGAATCTGGAATGAGGGAAAGGTCTCATCTTGTCGATAGCCTAGCTTGGAAGTGCCATAGGAACCTATCTGGAAAATCAGCCCCGGACCACCCCCGCGCTCACACCTCACCCCTCCTTCCTCTTTTATTGAGAATGGAAAAAGACATTAGTGCATATAATATACCACTTAACAATGTTTCCTGTGCATACATATATCCATCCAAATTTGCAACAGAACTTTAGGTGCTAACAAAATCAATTAACTTCTTTCTCATATATTATACAGAATCATTGCACATAAATTAGAAAGCATATTCTTGGTTATACAAACAGCTAAACAAGTGCCACCATGCTTGGCCACTAGTAAAGTAGTATTTAACCAGAATATTTTCTAATAGTAACATAATAACACTAACCTTTAAACGGCCTTCTTTTGGAGTATAGTCACAGTTCTCCTCAGAGAAAAACTGAAAGAGTTCAAGTGTGCCTTCTAGTCCATATTCCTGCTAAATGGTGCATTTATCAGCAAAGTTGAGTATGATATCATAAACTCACACTGGCTCTTGAATCCTAAGGTACATACTCTGTTGAACCCTCCATTTACTGAAATAGTTGCTATGGACGGTCCACCACTATTGTCATCATATTTGTCATGAAACAGCGGTCTGAAGTCCTCTTGGTTTGTACAACTTGAAGGATGCTGCGCTGGTGATACAATTGTCAACGGTTCCTCTGACTGAGACAATGTTTTTATCTTAGCCTAGAAGTAATCAACAAAAGGCAAACAATTCAAGGCATTCAGTCAAAGTTCATGCCAATAATCAACCGGTGCAAATGGTAATACCAGCAATGCGGTCAAACAAAAAGTTATATATACTGAAGGTGAAAACTCAACAGTAACACATTGAAGATAGCAACTTAGCTACCGGAAATACCAAAGATGCATCTTCACTTGCAATACATGAAGCAGCTACCGGAAATACCAATTATGCAGAATCTCAGAATGTGAACTATTGGAGCACCATTGACTACTCATATGCAATAACGTGGTTTCAATCAGTCAGCTTGTAGCTTAACCACAGCAGAATTGACAACCACTGATGCTGCTAAGTTGTAACTAAGGAGTCTCGAAGAGTCAATACGAATCTGGATGACGGTGGGAGGAAATGACAACAGCTGCTTACTTTTGCAGCGCTGATCCGCCGGGAAATGGCCGAGAGCTTCTCCCGCTCCTCCGCCGTCTGCGCAAAACCAAAAGCGAGAGTACCGTCAGAAACCGAGAACGCCCGGAGAGAAGGGAGAGCGGGGGTAGCAAAGCGCGCGTACCCGCGCCGTGACGGCGTCGAAGACCTGGTCGGCGGCAGCCTGCAGGTCGAGCAGGGCGCGGCCGAGCTCGCCGTACCCCGCCGCGTGGGCCTCCCGCCGCCGCCGCCGCCCGCCGTCCTCCGACACCCGCAGCATCTCTCTCTCTCTCTCCTCTCTCCGCCGGTCTCCGACGAGAGAGAGAGGGGAATATCAGCGGTGCGGCGGGCCAAGCCCGCGAGCAGATCCGGCCCAGCCCACGCAAATCCTAGCCCGATAGCCAAACTGGGCCGCACTCCTCTCGCGTGGATACATTCAACGGCCCATCCTCTCGCCGCCGCTACGACATCCCCGGTCGTCGTTTAGCCGTTCGTTCCGCCGGAGTCCACCTCGGCGACCCATCTCGGGGCAGAACGTGGCGGTGGTTTCCGGCGGAGCCAGGGCCCGGCGGCGACCATGGGTGGTTGCCCGGGCTCCGCTAGCTGCATGCTGCCATGTCCTAGATATTATGTTTTCCTAGTTAATTTTTTTCAAAATTATAGAGAAACATAATAGTATTTTGAACACAAAATATACATATTATCAAAATATATTAATAAAACTGAGACTTAATCAAACTTAAAATAGTTTGATAAAAGAATCAAAATAACTTACAATATAAAATAGAGGGAGTATGTGTTTAGAGCAAACTAAGAAAGGAAATGCTCACTTCTAGAGTAATACTTTCTCCGTATTTTAATGTATGACGCCGTTGACTTTTTAACCAACGTTTGATCATTCGTCTTATTCAAATTTTTTATGCAAATACAAAAATACTTATGTCATGCTTAAAGAATATTTAATGATAAATCAAGTCACAGTAAAATAAAGGATAATTACATAAATTTTTTGAATAAAACGAAAGGTAAAACGTTTGTTAAAAGGTAAACGGCGTTATACATTAAAATACGGATAGGGTATGTAGATTTATATAGACTTTTATGCATCTTATTCGTTGTTAGGCTTGTTCAGCTCCCTTTTTTTTTTGTATCCGTCACTTGTTCCTCCGACCGCGCGTGCGGAGTGGTGGTTCGCCGGCTCGACCGGATTCATGCACGTTGCAACGAACTCAACCCAATCATCGCCAATCATTCGATCACGGTGGAATTAGTGATGTGCACTCGCGGGCGGTTGATTGGTTTGTTGAATTCTCGTTGCAAAAACACAGCAGCGACAACGAGGGAAAAAAGGGCTGGAGTACTGCCGTTTTGACTTTTGAGTCCTACCTGGAGTCGAGTCTCTGGAGACTGGACATGTCACATGTGGGGCGCCGTTGGAATGGCACGGCGAGGCTGGAAGCGGCAGCGCCCCGGGGGGGGGGGGGGGGGGGTGATGGTGGTACATTTGACCGGCGTCCAGCTGTTAGAGTTTGTGTCGAATATGTGTACGTAGTCGGTTACAATTTAGTACTTGGAGTTGTAATAGGTATTAGAATTAGAAGACGAGTCGGACTCTGTCCTAAGATCTCTCATAAATAGAGAAGCGTGTCTGTTGTAACCGCATGGCGACATAGCATAGCAAGAGGGAGCGGCTGCCGGTGGCGACCAGCCGTGAGTTGTTGTAACTTTGATGCGCTGTATATGCTGGATCGGGGAGGAGTGCCCGTAATCAGTGCCCCGGAGATGTAAGTCTCGGCTGAACTCCGTTACCAAATATCGTGCCTCGGTGTCGTCATCGTGTTTGGATCTCCTATAGCGTTTCTTCCGCGTTTGGTTTCCGATGTGATTTCGGGTCCGGTTTTATAACACCAGCCACAAAAAAAAAAAAGCCGGCCAAAGCAAATGGAGTACAAAGCTGATTATAGTGCTCATTATGATTATCATGGCTAGTACTGAAATGGACATGAGTGAGGGCCTTTCCTTTAAAGCTTTTCTCCTCCAGCAACCAGGAGATCTGGTGGCAGACCTCAGACCTCAGGACAACAACAACCAGGAAGTTTGGCGGTGTGTCAAATCGAACAAACGAGTATACAAATTATACAACCGAAAACAACAACAAAAAAGTTTAGGAAAAAAAGCACAAAAAAAGTTAGGGGAAAAAGAAACAGAGTGAGTTGAGCTAGTGACATCTGAACGGATACCAGCACCCAACAATGGCAGCGCCCCAACCTTCATGATGCAATCGGAACATCGGATCCGACCAGACCTGACTGCCATTTATTACGGGAAAAATACACAGCACAAACCACACATGTGCATTCGAAACCTAAAAGCTAAAACTACATGATTGGATAAAAAATAGAATGTTTAAAATTTATCCACATCATCATGAGTCAGTAAAATTTCTCATACGTAAATCTACGAATAATCTTTATTTGCAGTGACACCTACAAATCTCTAATTTTTAGGTTTTCAAACTGCATGTGTAGTTATTTCGAGTCCACCGGGGACACCGCGTAACGTGCCAACTTTTACTACACCTCGCGCGGTCGGTCACCACCGGCACGACCCCGTCGCGAGACCGAAAAAAAAAAACCACCGTGCCGTGGCCAGCAACCTACCTCCTCGGCTTCTCTCTCTCTCTCTCTCGGTCTCCCACCTCCTCATCCCGCTCGCCCGCTCGCCGACACGGCGCAAATCCAAGAACCCCCCACGCCGTGCGTGGACACCTCGCCTCGCCTCGTCCTCGCCCATCTCTCTCCTTTTGCCCGCATCCGCGGCCTCGCCTCGTAGTCCCCGCCGCATCTCGCCATTCCGCTACGCGCCCAAGCTACTGCTAGTAGTACTATCTGCTCCCCCGTGCGTGGTCGGGTCAGGTGGGTCGGCCGCGAGATCCCGCCATGGAGGTGAGCTCCGGCTCTCGCCTTTTTCTCCCCTGTTCTCTTTTTCTTTTTTTGGTCTCTTCCTTTTGGATATGCTTGCACGGTGGTGTTCGTCGCTGTTGTTTCGAGACGGGGATTTGATGCGCTATTGGTGGTGGTACGCGCGGTTTGGGCTTTTGTTTCTTTGGTCGGTGCTCTCGCCGGAGTTGTTAATCGCCGGCAGCAGGAGAGGGATCGTAGGAGGAGGAGGAGGAGGTGTTTCTGGCGGCGATTCTGGTCGATTTTGGGTCGGGCGGCGGCGGGCGAGTAGAGATGAGCGAATTCCGCCGCGCGTTAATTGATTGATTCCTCCATGGCACGCTACAATGCAAGCTAACGTGAGTATGGTAGATTTCGTGCGCCCTGGATGGTCAGCTCTTTTATAATTTGCTCGTTTGCAAGACTGCCGCATCGGCATTGCTGAGAAATTCTGGATGCGCTGCATATGAGGTGGTCAGTGCGTTGCTGAATTCTGGTGCTTTCGGTGTATTCCGTTGGGGGAAATCTTGTTTCGATGACTATAGGATGAACTTGTTTTTTAATTTTTGGGTCCTTACTTAGTTACTTTCCTCCATCAAAGAACGTGGTTTTGTACCTGTTACTCCATTGGTTATTGCCTTGCTGGTAATTTTGACGGCTCCAGTGGTAAAAAGAGCTGCTAGATCTGAACTTAAGTTTGTTTGCTTGCTTCTAGTTGGCACTGCTTCCTCCATCTTCAAGCTCCAAATCGCTGCATTTCCTAGCAGGTAGAGGTTAATTAAAAAAAAATGTACCTGAGTAGTATGCTCGAACCTTTGTACCATGTTCTTTGTTTTGGGCTCTTCTTTGTCAATTTTAGCATGAAATTAGTTGGAAGGTATTGAATGCTATCCTTGATGTTTGCAATTAATCCGTCCTGGTAACATGACAGCTGCTACTCTTTTATGCATTACCTGGCTGTCCTGTGCAATGATGCAACATCATTGTACATGTTTGAGTCATGAGTTTGCTTCTTTTTTTTTTTTTGAAACAGTAGACGGTAGGAGTTCTATCTATATATTAGAAGAAGAGAGTTGACCCTGTTTATAAGGAAAACATCATGAGTTTGCTTTCAACGTTGTGAATTGACTGTTTACTGCTTCACATTGCTATCCGGTTAAAATGTCCAAACTGGAATGGTTAAGGCTGACCTTACATGTATAGCCTCTTGAGGTCTCATGAGGCACCAGTGCATGGTTATGATCCTAAGCCATGTCAATGGTACTAGAAGAGACAAGCTTTAGCCAAAACTGAAATGGGAGGAAGCAGTTAGAAGAGATTTGAAGGCATGGAATGCATCCAAACTCCAAAGATTTGGCTTTGGAGAGGGGCATGTGAAAATTTATGATCCACATGCGGAACCATGACCTAGAAAATTGTGTTTTCTTTAACTAGTACCATGCACCTATTTTTATCAGTAGTAAAGTCTTTTGTTTCTTGTGGCTCAACTTGGGTTTTATATCTAGCCTACACCAACTTGCTTGGGGCTAAAGTCTTTTGCTGTTAAAGATGAGCTGGGAAACAATTTACTTAATTTAGTTTGCTACAATGAGTTGACTCTATTGTTGAGTGGTACAATCATGCTAGCCCATAATCTCATATTGTACTGCCCTGTGCTGGAGTCCGAATCACACTATTGATCTCATCCCCTCTACTCTTATTTGATTTCCTTTTGCAGGTCAGGACAGTAAAAGTTAGCAACATTTCATTGAATGCTTCAAAAAGGGAGATCACAGAGTTCTTCTCTTTCTCTGGAGATATAGAATATGTTGAGATGCAAAGGTGATTCATCATTGTTTGTCACATTGGCCATGTACGTATGAAGGCTGTAAACGTATTTCTTAAATGTTTGCTTCTGCCTTGACCAGTGAATCTGAAAGGTCACAGCTTGCTTATGTTACATTTAAGGACTCACAAGGAGCAGATACTGCTGTGCTTCTCTCAGTATGTTCAAGTTCTAACAATTCATTTTTAACTATTTTTGTTCCATTGCATTAGGAGTAAGGTTGCCTACTTGGTTCTACTTTCCTCATGCAATTGCTGCACCTTGCATGTTAATATGTCTCACGCCATTTCTATTTATCTTATATATTATTTCTAATATTTTAGTTACCATCTACAGGGGGCAACAATTGTTGACCGTTCTGTCATCATAACTCCAGTTGTGAACTATCAACTGCCTCCTGATGCACGCAAACAATCCGCAGTAAGAATATGTTACATTTTAATGGCTTGCTCTTTATTTCAACTTTAAAGTTACATCAAACGGAAGCAATCACTACTTTTATTTTGGGAAGGATTATGATTACATCGTATCTCAAACAAAAGAGATTTATTATTATTATTATTAACTGTTTTCTACAGACAAGTTATTCTTGCGGCAAGTATTTTGGGGTTAAGACCTGGCCAAAAAAAACTCCTTGTTGACAAGAGTTGAGCAGTGGAATAAGAGAACATAGTGATTTCTTATAAATGCTAGAAGATACTTGGATTATATTGCTGTTACTACCTACATTTGCATTGGTTGTCTATATATGTTATTTTCCACCAGTCAAACCTGTTCGTTTTGACAATTAGCAGTTAAATTTCTTAGCAATCATGTAACATGGGTTTTTAAACTATGTGCCATGGTAAGATCATTCCAAAATTAGTCAGTTTATTTGAATCAGATCTGGATGTCAAGTGGAAATGCATCCATTATGTGTCAAATCAATTATGATGCCATTTTAGATTTTAAAACCATTTTATCTGCATATTGAACTGTTTCCGATCATGGGACACCAAAGTACTTCCTGCTGTACTTGTTGGTACTCCATTTCTATGCATTTGTCTGAATTTCATCATTTGTATGAACAGGGAGAGAAATCTTCCTCTGCTGAATCTGTAGTCAGGAAGGCAGAGGATGTTGTGAGCAGCATGTTGGCAAAGGGCTTTGTCCTCAGCAAGGATGCTCTGAACGTAGCAAGATCTTTTGACGAGCGTCACAACATACTGTCCAATGCTACAGCTACTGTCGCATCTCTAGACCGCCAGTATGGCGTGAGTGAAAAGATCAGTTTGGGCCGTGCAATTGTTGGTAGCAAGGTCAAGGAGGTGGATGATCGTTATCAGGTGTCAGAACTCACAAAGTCCGCTTTAGCGGCTGCGGAGCAGAAAGCCAGCATTGCAAGCTCTGCTATCATGAATAACCAGTATGTCTCAGCTGGTGCTTCCTGGTTAACAAGCGCATTTGGCATGGTAACCAAGGCGGCAGGTGACATGAGCTCCATGACCAAAGATAAGGTAGACAGGGCCGAAGAGGAGAGGAAAGCGATCATGTGGGAAGAGAGGAATGGGCTTGTAAGTGATTATGCCAAGATCCATCTTGATGAACCCTCTTCATGGGAGCCTGCAGTTCTTCCGTTGGAATCTGTGGATGAGCAGAAGCTCCAGGCTGTGTGATCTGCACAATCCAATGGTGGTCGTTTCTCTGCACGTCATTCTTTTGTTCATGTCCAATATAGAAGATTGTTTTTCACCGCTGCACGGTAGCAAAAATATTGAGCTTATTGCCTATAGTATGATGTAAATTTTAGAAATTCCCCATGTGTTTTCTTCCAGCTTTGTTATAGACCACTGAAAGGCTTACTTGTTCAGTGTTAGACATGGAAATGAAAGTTGTTCCAGACTTCCAGGCATACCTCTTGTTATGGTAGAACATGTTTCTGTGAGTTATCTCAGAACTATTTGTGCTCTGATATTCTGAAGCTACATGTGTAAGGCCCAAATCTGGGAAATAATCAAGGTCAAAATGAAATGCAGACAATATTTCCTAATCCTATCTGAACTGGCCAATTTTCTATTAAGCTCGTGTGTTTCAAATGTGTCCAGAATTTCTTCAGAAATTCCCTGTGTTACCAATCAGGCCTTTTTTAGGAGTTTTATCTGTTGACAAACTGCATCTTGTCTAACTAATTATGAAACCCAAACTGCGCCACAGTGGATTAATCGACGTTACAAGCTATATACATCAAGTGAAGAGTATAGTCACATTTATAGATCCTCCAGGGTTATATTCTTTTCTAAGATAATGGAATAGTGTTTAGTTGTTTACACCTCCTGCGTCTGTATTCTGTAATCAAATACTCCCTCCGTATACTCCCTCCGTTTCATCATACTGTAAGTCGTTTTAACCATTTTTTTATAGTCAAACATTTTTAAATTTAATTATAATTATAAAAAAGTTAGCAACATCTACAACACTAAATCAGTTTAATTAAAACTAGTTTCATAGAAATACCATTCGATGGACCTTCAGAAAGCAAAATCTAACCGGTTTACAAGTGGCAGAATCTAATTGGTGCAGGGGTGAAAAATCAGAACATGTGTGCAGATCAAAATACAAAACAAACTGTTGGTGCTAGCCAACAACAACTTCTTTTTAATTGCTACTCGATGAACATTCCATGATGAACATGCATGATTAATTTAATTTACTAAAGCAAACGAAACAGTGTCCTGATAAGGTCATAAACCCAGCAAATCTCGGCCAGATTGGCGTGCTAAATAAAGTTCCTGATCACGGTCGTGCCTGTCGTCCTACGGCGCCTCACATTTCTTCTTCTTCATCATCATCATCTTCTCTTCTCCATGGTTGTGCTAATTAAACTCAAAACGCAGCTCTCCATGCTGACAGTCTGACACTGACCTGCTGACTCAACCTCTCTCTATCATCAGTATATCTATCGTCTTTCTTTTTCCAGTCGTATTATTACCTTTAAGCAATCTCTGTCTTGGGAAATATCTCCTGCATTTATTATGCATTCTATATTGAGCTTTACCTATTGAAATCTACAAGTTACACATCACCTTTCATTATAGATGCAGTGTTTGTTAGTGACGGTGGTTGCAATCTCCAAATGTGTTGGGTTAACAATTGAATCAGATTCTCTGCCAGCTAATTTATCCCTCTGTGTCAAGCAAAGTAGATAGGAGTATCTCTTTACCAGTTTAGCCATACCAGACAGTAGGAAATGATCAGGAATGTTAAGATTTCTTCAGTGGAATAATTTTAGTTAAATTATTATGCACTTGTGAGAGGCTGCGATAAAAAACAACACGCACACATGGAGGGTTGAAGAGACACTATGTACGTTCTGTGTATTATTGCCAGACTTGAGTGGGAATATAATGGATTCTTTTTCAGAATTACGCGAAGTACAACGCAGATACTCACAGCGTATGCGCGCACTCATCCCTATAAATACATGTACGCAAACCCGACCCTTATGAGCATCTTCGAAGACTGCGCCGGTAAATCCTTGAGATTGACAAAGTCAGCACAGACGCCTCGCTGTCACCACAGGCACCTCACTGTCGACGAGTACGTCGCCTACCACTGATACTCACAACGCACGCTCACTTACCCCTATGAACGCACGTACGTCACCAAGACTGCGCCGGTAAATCCTTGAGATTGACAAAGTCAGCACAGGCGCCTCGCTGTCACCACAGGCACCTCACTGTCGACGAGTACGTCGCCTACCACTGATACTCACAACGCACGCGCACTTACCCCAATGAACGCACGTACGTAAACCCTACCCCTATGAGCATCTTCGAAGATTGTGCCGGTAAATCCTTGAGATTGACGAAGTCACCACAGGTCACCACAGGCAAATCCGGTAAATCCTTGAGATTGACGAAGTCACCACAGGCGTCTCGATATCGACGGGTACATCGCTTACCACTGAAAGCACAATACCATTAAATCCTGGAAAATTTGCTCCCATGGGGAGTCGAACCCAGGACCTTAGGTGCTACCGAGGCTCTTGTAACCACTAGGCTAAAGGCCCTTTCGCACAATATAATGGATTTTAATCCCCTGAAAGAGAATATTACCATATTTCTTACGTATCATCTAATAGTTATTCTTTTCTTTAAAAAAAAAGTTATATTAATATATGATATATCATACTACAAACATACAAGTTCAAATTCGATCTCTATAAGTTACTTATAACAAATAAACAAACTAAATTAACTAATATGCATATATTTATAGTTAGATTTATTTTTTCTGTTACAATTTATAGTAGTCGAAGTTGAACTTAAATGTTTATGAAATATATAATGTCAAAATTTTGATATGACTAGGATATATCGTGAAAAAGAAATTGTGTTGTAGTGCACGATGAAAAAACATGTGTAAAAGAGGACTGATGTAACTTTATACTATAAACCAACACATTTACTAAATTTGTTATGTTCCACTATATTTACAGATCAAGGCATTCCATTAAAAACTTCTTCCCTGCACCCACCAAATGCGAGCACACACATAGAAACCTTAACGCCACAGAGACTAGCATTGTTGCCCTTTGGTCCCTCTTCCTCTTTCTAGTAAGCCGCTGGTAGAGAAGGGAGGGGGGGGGGGTGGTCCACCCTTCCAGTAGATCTTTAGGTTTTCTGCAAAATAATTTATTTTGTCTTCTCATGTTATCGTTACGGCGGTGGTGATTGTGGATTTTCTATCGGTGATTTCTTTCATGAGGGTGTGATTGGCTATGGGCTTTGTGTCCATGGTGTTGTTGCATGGCTAGACATGATAATGGTGTTCTATGGAATGACGGTGCTCTAGCGTGCGCTCTCTCTCTCTCTCTCTATGCTTTACGGATGGTCCATTCGACACTGATGAAGGGCTTGTGAGGGTTGTCGTTGCATCGACGGATCGCGACGCAGAAGTAGAGATTTGAATCGAGATTGGGACATTGCTTCGCCGATGTTTTTTTAGCGGTTCTGTGGATCGTTCTTTGAGACGGATGGCTATTACGACCTTCAAAAACCCTTGTGCAATAGGGGTTCGCTCAGATTTTACTTGGTTCTCTGTTTGTCCTCTCTTCTACTGGCGATAGGATCGACAAAATGTGGAATATCCATGGTTGTGATGGATGCGGTGGAGAAAAAGGTTTTGATAAATTTGACTGTAATTTTCGTTTTTTGCATGGTTTTTTGTGCAGGTTCTTGTTTTTATTAATATAAGTAAGGTACATATCAAGGCAAAGCATCACTAGTTAAATTACTCTAGTCAGTACTTCTAGTCAGCTTTCAGTGCCACGACTGCAAGCGATAATATCCTGGACCTGCGTACTGCTCTATGCGTCATGGAGCGTCTCACGGCCTGACACGTGTAAGCTGTAACTAACTAACCAACTGTATTGCTCTACTCCCTCCGTCCCAAAAGTGCAGTTTTGCACTATTCACGTTCAACGTTTGACCGTTCGTCTTATTTGAAAATTTTTTATGATTTGTATTTTTATTGCTATTAGATGATAAAACATGAATAGTACTTTATGTGTGACTAAATATTTTCAATTTTTTCACAAAATTTTCAAATAAGACGGACGGTCAAACGTTGGACATGAATATCCACGGCTGTACTTATTTTGGGACGGAGTTAGTAGTATAACTAACTGGCGCGCGACAAAACCCATGATTCATCGGCACGGACGTTGACAGTGTGCGTGCAGTACTTAAAACTGCGCTACTGATTAGGCTACGATGTGACATCTGCTAGCGACTGAATAATGATAGCAATCGCATACTTCATCGTGGAAGTTTCGATGGAATTTAGCCGTCGATCCGGTGGATTGTTAGTGCCGCTGCTAAATAATCCGTCGAGGTACCATCATAAGCAATAGAAAATTGAAACAAAGCAATCAAAACTAACTTATATGTTAAACTTTCATATCTATATTGTTAGTAGCAGTAATTTAAAAGTCAAGACTAAAAATTGACTATGGTGACAAAATCTAAAATCAAGTTTAGTTTTAAATTTTTGAAATTTAAACGATTTCGGCTAATAAGGCTGTGTTTAGATCTAAAGTTTGGATCTAAACTTCAGTACTTTTCCATCACATCAACCTGTCATACACACGTAACTTTTCAGTCACATCATCTTCAATTTCAACCAAAATTTAAACTTTGCGCTGAACTAAACACAGCCTAAGCCAATAAACAAATGATGAAACTCTACTTTGACTACGACGTGCAATTAGGGTTGGTGGGTAGTACCAGTAGTGAGAGCGATCAGTGTCAGTTTGTTATCTGCAAGACTGACGGCGAGAAGAGCCAAGGGACCGTGAGACGTAACAGGTGACGGCTTTGCTGAAAATGACATCATCGGATCTCGCGGATATACAGCTTGATGATGACTAAGGCTGTGTTTGGAACTCCAAGTTCCCAACCCCTCTCCCTCGTTTTCCACGCGTACGCTTTTTAAACTGCTAAACGGTGTATTTTTTGTAAAAAGTTTCTATACAAAAGTTGCTTAAAAAATTCAAATTAATCCATTTTTTAAAAAGAAATTAGCCGATTCTTAATTAATCACGCGCTAATGGACCGCTCCGTTTTCTGTGCGGAGAGATTGGGTTCCCATCCCTGCTATCCGAACACAGCCTAAGGGTGCGTTCGTTCCTTGAGGGATTGGGTGAGAAAGCCCATCGTATTCCGCGCGCACGCTTCCCAAACTACTAAACGGTGTATTTTTACAAAAAAAAATTCTATTAGAAAGTTGCTTTAAAAAAATCATATTAATCTATTTTTGAAATTTAAAATAGTTAATACTCAATTAATCATGCGCTAATGGCTCACCTCGTTTTATGTATCTTCCCAATCTTCTTCTCCTCAAACTCACCCTAATTAACGCGTCAATGCAACGTCATATGATTCTTGGATATGTAATATGTTCAATGGACTACTGATATCTGAAACCTGATGCGTGTTTTCAGATAAGGATTGCATCTCTGAAGATGGAAGAAATTAAGATAGCATTTTCAGAGAGGCGGCTGGAATTAACCTTCTCTTTTCTTATAAGAGTAAAGCCCATCACCGGTCCCTAAACTTGTACCGTTGTGCCATCCCGGTCCCTAAACTCGCAAATCGACCGTTCAGGTCCTCAAACTTTTTCGACTATGTCATCCCGGTCCCTAAACTTGCAGATCACTCGTTTAGGTTCTCAACCTTGTTCAGTTGTGTCACCCCGGTCTCTAAACTTGGATTTGAATATCATCTGGGTTAAATAGGACAGTATAAAGACTTTATATTTAAAAATAATTCATAACTTTTTCATGTGAACTCTAATGAAGATAAACTTTATATCAAAATTGTAGCCCTCGACGCGATCTATAACTTTGTAGTTGATTTTTTTATTTTAAGTCATTTTTTGTCCCAAAATGTAATTTTAAAATTATAATATCAAAATCTATAAACATGCAACAATATTTTGGGACCCTAAACAGTTTTAATTCAAAAAAATTTCAACTACAAAGTTGTAGGTCGCGTCGAGGGCTACAATTTTGATATAAAGTTTGTCATCATTAGAGTTCACATGAAAAAGTTATGAATTATTTTTTGATATAAAGTGTTTAGACCATCCTGTTTAGGGACCGGGGTGACACAACTGAACAAGTTGAAGAAACTAAACGAGTGATCTACAAGTTTAGGGACCGGGATGACACAATCAAACAAGTTTGAGGACCTGAACAGTCGATTTGCGAGTTTAGGGACCGGGATGACACAGCGGTACAAATTTAGGGGCCAGTGATGGACTTTACTCTTCTTATAATATAGTTCCCCCAAAATGAAATTCAATTGCCAGAGCATGCATGCGTCAAATGGCTGATGACACTGACATATATTCTCTTCGTTTTAAATTAAACCAACATTGAGATTCGTATTATTTAGATGTATTACATTTCCTATACTATTTTAGTTTATTTTAGAATGGATGGAGTACAGAGTACCACATACAAAATGAAATTAAATGCTGCAATCATCTTCAGCAAGTTACAGCAAGTGTTAAATTCGAATTCAAATTTAAATTCGTGAAAAAAGGACATGTACATGACAATACTATATTCTTATATTGTGAGACGGAGAGAATACAATTATATGATTTGTCAGTAACTAGGCTAATCTCAGTGCAAGGCCTGAGGCGGCGGCGCGGCCAATTCACGCTCCGGCCACTAGCCGCCGGAGCGCGAGCTTGGACGCCGCCACGTTCCTCCCGGCGACGAACTGGTGGGTGAGAAGATGCGCGGCGGACGGCCGCTTCGTGTGGTCCTTGTGCAGGCACGCGGCGAGGAACGCCCGGAGCTCCGGCGAGGCCGCGCCGTCGGGCAGCGGCGGGAGCTCGCCGAAGCAGATGGCGCACATGAGCGCCGCCCAGCTCGGCTTCTGGCCGGCGGGGAGCAGCGGGTAGCGCGCCATGAGGAGCTCCAGGACGGTCACGCCCAGGCCCCACACGTCGGCGGCGAAGGGGTCGGCGCCGTCGCCGTGGAGCTCGGAGTCGAACCGCTCGGGGCTCATGTACGCCGCCGTGCCCTCGTACTCGTACGCCGCGCGGTGCTCGCCGCCGCGGCGCGGGGGGACCACCTTGGCGATCCCGAAGTCGGCGATCTTCACCTCGCCGTCCACGCTGACGAGGAGGTTGCCCGGCTTGATGTCGCGGTGGACGACGCGGCGGGCGTGGAGGCACGCCAGCCCGGACAGCGCCTGCGCGGCCACCTCCGCGACCGCCGCCTCCGGGAACGCCCCGGCGCGGGCCGCGACGGAGGCGAGCGACCCGCCGTCCACCAGCTCGAGGAGCAGCGCGACGTCGCCGGAGGCGGAGGCGGAGGCCGGAAGGACGGCGTGGCACCGGACGACGAACGGGGAGGCCGTCCGGCTGAGTATGTCCGCCTCCACGCCGGCGAGCTCGCCGCCGCCGGCGGAGTGCTGCACCTTCAGCGCGTAGAGCGCGCACGTCTCGCGGTGGCGAACCTTGTACACGGTGCCGCCATTCCCGCGGCCGAGCACGGCGACCCTCTCGAAGTCGGCGAGCCGGAACTGGCTGGCTCGGGACGCCGGCGTCGACGACGTCGACGCCGCGGCGACCGGTGGTGGGCATTGTCGCCGGGCGGCCGCCGCCGCATCTTGGAAGGGTACACGCGACGGGACGTGCAGCGAGAGGTTCATCTGGCTAAACCTCTTCTCCCTAATTAGAGCCATAATCCAAAGCGGTTAATGACTAATCGTGATTAGCTAACTGACCTGTGCTTGACACTGGATTAGTATCTGGCTGCTTATTTATACGTGTCAGAGAAGCACACTGGATCGTATGTGTTCCTTTCACAGGTTTGTGATGTGTAATTCCATTTCTTTTCGTTTCCATTTTATTTTTATTTTATTTTTGAAATGGAATGTTCCACCAAGTTTGATCCTGCACCTATGAGGTTTCTGTGTCATTTAGAAGGTTCTCAATAAGAAATATAATTTATTAGTAGTACAATACAATACATTAAAACCGTCTCTTGATTAATTAACAGGCCACTGCCGCCCATCAGAGATTAACAAAACGTTCTTAATCAGGTGACGTGGAGGAACATGACCATTAATAGGATGGGATTACTTGAAAGACAGTTCTTAATCTGGTCATTACAACGGCTGGTTGCCATGTTAACGCGCACGAGTAGATATTTTTTGAGAACTCGCACGAGTAGATAGATCAGGATTGATTCAGTTACGACTTGAAAAAATGATTTATTACCGTGCAACGTGTGCAGTCAGGCGTGTCACTTGTTGGATTATACTTTACTCGTTTTAAGAATGCAGCACGCCATGACGCAACTGTACTGCTTTGATCATTTTATTAAGGCCTAAATACTGTTTAGGCAGCTGTTTGTTATGTGCTGAGAAAGAGAAGGTGACATTGGCGGCCGGTGTCATATCATCAAGAAGAAGGGAAAAAAAGAGACTTCAATAGGGGTAGCAAACTAGCAATCGACACCGGGTAGAATATTTGGAAAACAAAAGGAGATAATCCTTTGACACATCATCAGCTGCCGCTTAAGCAATCGAGGACTTCAATTGACATAAACAGGCATTGGTCCTTGCTCGAGTGTACAAGTCTCACTCCGATTGTCCTCTTGTGGTGACGGCTAGTTGGTACAAGATGGCCTTCGCTGGGTTTAGTTCCGAAATATCTCTTTCAAACTTTCAACTTTTTCATCACATCAAAACTTTTTACACACATAAAATTCCAACTTTTTCATCACATTATTCCAATTTCAACCAAACCTTCAATTGTGGCGTGAAGTACACATAACCCTTGTTGATGGGCGGCATCTTCTCGTTCATTCTCATCCTCTTTAGCCCAAAGGTGTGAATGGAGTTAGATGTGTCAGCTGTCGATTTTTTTTCTTCTCAGCAATGAGGTTTTTGTTATAATTGTTTTTGCTATACCAAATACGAAATGTCGTACTATCTTTTGTGCAGGTTAGAAAAAGAATAGCGTGGGTTAAATATGTACATCCAAAATGGACAGAAGAGAACCAACCACATCAAACTGTGCTGGGTCTCCACTTTGGGGGAGTCCGGCTCCGGCCCATTTCCCCCGTTGACGCCCAAGCATATACTGCCATCCGGGCCCCACCCTACACATCCCGCACCCCACCCCTCTCCCTGCGTTCCGGCCCCACATGCAGTCTCACACCGCACCTTACCTTGACCAAAACCTCGGGGGACACGTAGCAGCGGCCACCACCACACCACACACACTCGAGAGACCCGCCTCACCTCGCTCCGCATCTCCCCTCAATCTTACTCCGTCACTGACACGTGGGCCCGACGAGCCATGGACCCACATGTCAGTGACACAGGAGCGGTGGCACCGAAGGTACGAGAGGATCTCTCTCACAAATCCATCTCCTCCAACCTCGCCGCACCAGCCAAGGGCAGGAGGCTCCCCCCCCCTCTCCCACCTCCCCGCGATCCCATCGCCGCCGCCGCAGCCGTCGCCGCCGCATCCGTCGCCGCCATGGCCTTCTTCGCGAGGGCGATCCGCTACTCCAGCCCGTACCTGCGCTCGCGCGCTCCTCCCCCGCCCGCGGTCGCCGCGTCGTGCCGCTGGATCTCGCCGACGGCGGCGGCGGGGTCGCCGGAGGCGGGCGCGGCGGTGGCGCCCGCGGACCCGGAGACGCCGCCCCCCAGGGAGCCCGTGGGAGGGGCGCGGGTGGAGCTCCCCAGCAACCCGGAGGACGCGCTCGAGGTGTTCGTGGACGGGCACGCCGTGCGGATCCCCAAGGGGTTCACCGTGCTCCAGGCCTGCGAGGTCGCCGGCGTCGACATCCCGCGGTTCTGCTACCACAGCCGTCTCTCCATCGCCGGCAACTGCCGCATGTGCCTCGTCGAGGTCGAGAAGTCGCCCAAGCCCGTCGCCTCCTGCGCCATGCCCGCGCTTCCAGGTGAGCAGTTCGATGCGGACGCGGCGTCGCGCTTCGCGGCCATTACTCTCTGTTGAATTGGGTTTTGAAACGGACAATGTTGGTGTGGTTTGCAAAATGTTAATGCCTTAGTCTCTCGGATCCATCTTTGTGTAGATTTGCCTGTAGTCTATATTGGCTAGTGATAGTTGGACTAATTGAATGATTAGTAGAGTGTGTGCGTTTATCTAGTAGGATTTGCAGGAGTTCTTAACGTTGGAGCGCCTTGTTGTAATAGGGATGAAGATTAAGACAAACACGCCAGTAGCAAAGAAAGCCAGGGAGGGTGTCATGGAGTTCCTGTTGATGAATCATCCGCTGGACTGCCCAATCTGTGATCAGGGTGGGGAGTGTGATCTCCAGGATCAGTCTATGGCATTTGGGGCTGACCGTGGTCGGTTCACTGAGATGAAGCGGTCCGTTGTGGACAAGAATTTGGGCCCATTGGTGAAGACAGTGATGACCCGTTGCATCCAATGTACAAGGTAATGTTTTTTTTTTTGCTTTTCAGTAGATTTGAATGAGTATCCACTTAAAGAGGTTTACTGCTGTTCAGTTTTGTCTATTGTCTGCTCCCTCTGCTTCCTGTGAGTACTATGTTCTTGGACAACAGATTTAGGAGCTGTCTGTACAAACTTGATAAGTTCAAACTTTGAGACCAAACATGTTCCTGATATATTTTCATGCTGTGGTAGCTTATCATCTTATATCAAAACAAAATATTGTCTGGCTGCTTCTTCAAGCTACCCTTGGCCGGTTTGTAACTTTGTATTTCTTGAAAAATGCAGGTGCGTCAGATTTGCTAGTGAGGTTGCTGGTGTTCAAGACCTGGGTATGTTAGGTCGTGGCAGTGGTGAAGAAATTGGAACATATGTGGAGAAACTTATGACAAGTGAACTCTCTGGAAATGTTATTGATATCTGCCCAGTTGGAGCCCTTACATCCAAGCCATTTGCATTTAAAGCTAGGAACTGGGAGCTGAAGGGCACTGAAACTATTGATGTTACTGATGCAGTAGGTTCAAACATTAGAGTTGACAGCAGAGGTCCTGAAGTTATGCGTATCGTTCCACGTCTCAATGAGGTTCGCTTATTGTCCACTTCTGTTGTAAATTTGACTTATTCTATGATTTTTGCTGGTAATGATCTACATTAGGATCATCGGATCATTTGGTTGTGGTCATGTGTTCTAGGGAGTAGGAATAGTACCTATTGTATGCCTATGATTACATTTGCCTTTATTGCATGCATGAGGCAGTGTCATGTTTCCTTTTTGCCGTAAGCCACCTCACTCGGTAAATTTCTCTTTGCTATGTTAGTAGAGTATTTCTGTTTTTCTTTGATTAGTCAAGCCACAGACAAATGAATGGATCATTTTTCGTAATGCACCTTACTGTTTCTTGTCTCAGTCCGGATCCTAGAGCTAAAAGATATGGACATCTTGTAATGTTTCTCATATTGATCAATTCATTCCCAATTTCAGCTGTGTACATAGTAACACTGATGATAAATAAACGTGTTGTACACACTTCTAACTCAGTAAACGTGTTGTACACACTTCTACTCAGTAAACATGTTTAAGGAATTACAGTGTGGTCGTTTGGACATTAGTTGTCCTCATTCTAGCTTGTGGATGTTCAACAGCGTGTTGATGAAACTTTTTCCCTTCGTCTGTTATGTCACATCTGTCTGAAATAAACACTGAGTAAGCTTCCTGTTTTCGTGATACTTGCAGGATATCAATGAGGAATGGATATCTGACAAAACACGGTTTTGTTATGATGGTCTGAAGAGGCAAAGACTAAACGACCCCATGATCCGTGGTACTGATGGCAGGTTTAAGGCAGTGACATGGCGGGATGCTCTCGCAGTTGTTGCTGAGGTTTTGCAACAAGTTAAACCAGAAGAAATCACTGGGGTTGCTGGTAAACTTTCTGATGCAGAGTCCATGATGGCACTGAAAGATTTTGTTAACAAAATGGGTTCGGATAAGGTGCTTTGTGAAGGAAATGGTCCAAGTCCTCCTGCGGATCTACGTTCTAACTACCTAATGAATACTAGCATTGCTGGGCTTGAGAAAGCTGATGTCTTCCTTTTGGTTGGTACACAGGTAAAATCTTGACTATACCTTACCTGTGGCTATTATTTACTGCCAATTTTTCTTGAATTCTTCACTTCTCCAAGAAATGCTGTGTAATTGCATTGCCTCATTTTTAGCATTGTGGCGGCTTATCTCTAGCACTATGCAGTTTCATTTGACAACTTTAGGATATTGCACTACTAGAAAGCATCCTTTTGGAGTCATGATTCCTGCAAGAAGTTCTCTACGGCTCAGCAGCTAGCCTGCAACTTGCCCTTAACTGTGGGTTATTTCCATATTGACATGCTTTTGCAACAGCTATTCTGTATATGGTACTATGCTAATCACTATGGAATTGATGTTTCTTAAAAACTCAGAAGCTGTTTTGCAACCTTCAATCACATGGAAACACCTTGCCTACATTCCATTTTTAACAAGCTTGAAATATATTGTCAGGCCAAAAAAATTGAGACATGCATGCAGCCATTCACATTTTTGGTGTTATATTTTGCTCTCTTGTCCTGTTAATGGTGCCTTTTCTGCACATATTTAATTATCTATTTCATGGAACAGCCAAGAGTTGAAGCTGCTATGGTTAATGCAAGAATCCGGAAGACTGTTAGAGCGACACAAGCTAAGGTTGCTTATATTGGACCTCCAACTGACTTCAACTATGACCATGAGCATCTTGGCACTGGACCACAAACCCTTGTTGAGATTGCAGAGGGTCGGCATCCCTTCTGTTCAACTCTGCAGTCTGCTAAGAATCCTGTCATCATTGCTGGGGCCGGGTTATTTGACCGGGAAGACCAAGATGCCCTTTTCTCAACGATAGAGACTGTAGCCAAAAAATTCAATGTGGTTAGACCAGACTGGAACGGGCTTAATGTTCTATTGCTGCATGCTGCACAAGCTGCAGCGCTTGATCTTGGTCTTGTTGCTAATCCTACAGAGAGCATCAAGTCCACAAAGTTTCTGTATCTGATGGGAGCTGATGATGTAGACTTGGACAAGGTTCCGGATGATGCATTTGTTGTTTACCAGGGACACCATGGTGACAAGGCTGTGTATAGGGCCAATGTTATCCTGCCATCATCAGCATTCAGCGAGAAAGAAGGCACCTATGAGAACACCGAGGGATGCACTCAGTGGACAATCCCAGCTGTTCCTACTGTTGGTGATGCTAGGGATGACTGGAAGATCCTCCGTGCTCTCTCTGAGGTGGCTGGGGCTCAACTTCCTTATGATAGCCTCTCAGGTGTGAGGGACCGGATTAGCATGGTAGCACCAAACCTTGTGCATGTAGATGAGAGGGAGCCGTGCACTATTTCCTCTGAAGTGAAGCCTCCGGTAAAGCAACAAGTGAGCTCTACTCCATTCAAAACTGTTGTGGAGAACTTCTATATGACTGATGCAATCACAAGAGCCTCAAAGATAATGGCCCAATGCAGTGCAACCTTGTTGAAGAAGTGAAATCTACACCTTTCGGAAGCTATTCATCGGCAGAAAAGATTTTAGTTCCTTGTTTTTGCTCCAAATTTCCCCAGTTGTTGCATGCTTGGTTGGAAATTGGAGTATAATTTGGACTGCCCTTAGATTTGAAGAGCAGCAAAACTTGGTCTGTGAATTTTTCTTGTGTATGAGAAGCAGAGCATACTCAATAAGCTTGTTGTCCTTCTGAATCATGCAACAGCCACAGGCAATAATTTTGTTCCTTTTTAGTTCTTGCTCTGTTTGTTGTGAAACCAACTTTTCTGGAAGCAAGCAAAAGTGCAAAACTGCGAACATTTTCTAGTCGAGTAAATTGTTAAAGTGGCGTTCCTGGCCTTGTTGTTTCGTTGATAGGTCGGTGGTTTGCAACATTCCATTTGTTATGTTAAACTTGGTGGTGACCACACAGTTCAGCAAATTTTGCATCTTTGATTTCTTGAATGCTGTTATCCTAAGTGCAAGCAATGTTCCTCACCTGGCCAAACGTGACAACGTACTATACTACCGTTGAATCTAGAATTTGCTGGGAAGCTGAGAACGCACTGTCTCCGCTCTTAAAAAAAAACAATCTAAAACAGTCCCCCCGTCCTTAGAAAAAGCCAACCTAAAATAGGATGCGAAATTTTATTATCTCATACTCCCTCCGTCCTTAAAAATGCTAGGATGCTGATATTTTTTTGACGGAGGGAGTAATACAGTTCTAGAATTTGCTGCGAGGATGGGAACCAATGTTTGCTGTCATCTAGAATCTACATGGCGTTAATGTATCACGGGCTCGGTGTATTTAGGCCCTGTTTAGATCTCATCCTAAAACTTTACACCATGTCACATCGAACGTTTGAACACATATATAAAGTATTAAATATAGGTTAAAAAATAACTAATTATACAGATTGCGACTAATTTGCGAGACGAATCTTTTAAGCCTAATTGCTCCATGATTTAACAATGTGGTGCTACAGTAAACATTTGCTAATGATGGATTAATTAGGCTTAATAAATTCGTCTCGTGATTTACTGACCGATTCTTTAATTAGTTTTTTATTAGTGCCCGAACACCTCTTACAACACCATATATAATATCTAATGTGACACGCTAAAACTTTACGCCCCTGATCTTAAACACCCCCTTATTCTACTGTCCCATGAATCCATGTCTCCCTGACGGCAAGTCGGCAACCCTTAGAAGGTGAGCGAGCTAGCGACCGATTTCCGTTTTTGACGGGGCTCGGTGTGTCAGGCTCGGTGGATTCAGCTTCGGTGACATTGATATGGCAAGTCACCGGATGACATACCGTGCATGTGAGCCATCCAAAACGAATCCAACGTCTGCTTTAGTTGGGCCCGCACGCAGGGCAAAAAATCGCCGTTTTCATCCCCGTAGGCCGTAGCGGAGACGTACTGGCGGGAGACGGCGCCCCCAATTCCTCATCGCGCGCGTCCGCGAGCCAGCGGGGAGAGTCGCCGCCACCGTGACCGGAGAGGTGACATTCCGACGAGCTCACCACGAGTGTGGAGGCGGTCGGGCGGCCGCCGCGTGAGGTTGGGGCCGGGGCCTGCCGTGCCGCCGTGGCCAGAGGCGCATGGAGGCGACCGGCCAGAGGCGCGTGGAGGCGACCTGGAGTCGACGAGGTCCAGCCGCCTCCCGGTGTGGAAGAGGTGCGTGCGCGGCCCTGTGTTTCATCAATTTTGCTGTGTGTTCCCCTTTCGGTTGGGTGCTTTGGCTCTGTTGCTCGATTAGTGCTAGCTGTTGGATTAGCTAGCATATGTTCAGTAGAATTGGCGAGATGTAATTAGCTAGCATATTTTACAGTTGGGGAATGTGGGCTGCACTTGTAGAGCGAACTGAGAAGTAGCAGTAGGAAATAAATACCAGTAGGAAATAAATACATCAGGGTCCTCGCGCAGCCACCGCCCGGTCCCCTCCCTAGTCGCGGCCGCCTGGCGCGGCGGCAGCCTGAGGCGGGCGAGGGGAGGCGAAGCGGCGAGGCGGCCTGCCGCCTCTCCGGCCTGGCGCGGCGACGGCTGCCAACTAGCTCGCGGCGGCGGCTTGACGCGGGCGAGGGGAGGCAAAGCGACGAGGCGGCTGCCCGGTCCCCTTCCCACTCGCGGCGGCGCGGTGGCCTAGCGCCTCTCCGGCCTGGCGCGGGGAGGCGGCGACGAGAGCACGTGAGATTGGGGCGAGACTGGAGGAGACGTCGTCTAGCAGGAAGGGTAGCGCGTGGGGTGAAAACGGAGTCCTGCAGGTGGGCTAGCGCAGCGGACCGTTGGATTAGTTTTCAACGCCTCAGATTGCTCCAATGTCACACCGTGCCATGCCATAGCAAAGTCACCGAATCTGAATCCGCCTTATCCACCAACGAACCCACCCCAACCCACACCGCGCACGCGCACGCGCAATCGCAGCATCACCAGCATGGCGTCCCACGCCCACTGCGCCCCCGCCGCCAACCTCTCGCCGTCCCCGGGCCCGTGCCTCCCGCTGCGCCTGCGCCGTCGCGACCGCGAGCTCCCTCGCCCAGCTCGCGCCGCGCTCCAGCGCCGTCACGCCGTCGGCATTGTGCGGACGAATCGCCGCCGCGGCGCCGTCGCCTGCAGGAGGCGGCGGGTGCGGCACGAGGAGGAGGACGAGGAGGAGTACGGGCACAACGAGGAGATGGCGCGGTTGGAGCGGTACAGCGAGGGCGCGCGCGACCAAGCACTCCTCGTCAAGGCCAGGGTCGACGACGAGGTGGAGGTCGTGCTCGTCTTCAAGGTAGAAGCACTGCACTACCACTGGCAGAGCTGTTCTATCCATCCTAAAATAACCCAATCTAATAAAGCATGCGATATATCATACTACACTGATTTGGATAGTCACATTTCAGCACTATAATTTTGAACAGTATAGATGTGTTATATTATATATTAGATTTGTTTATTTTAAAATGAGGAAGGACAATGATTCTAAGTCTAAATTCAGTTTAGGATGTGTAGGTTTATTTATTTTATTTTAGAATGGAGGAAGGACGGCAATTCGCAATCTAAATACCACAGTTTAGGATGTGTCATGTTCTCTCAGATTTGTTCATTTTAGAAGGAAGAAAGAATGTCCGGGAGGCGATTCGGTGACTGATCTTTCTTTAAATATAGTTTAAGATGTGTCATAATTCTCTTAGATTTGTTTATTTTAGAAGGAAAGAAAGAACGTCCGGAAGGCGATTCGGTGACTGATTTTTTCTTTTGTGTGGGCACAGGGATTCTCGTCGAGGCTGAGCGGGAGAACGGCGGCGGATCCAGCGATGAGCGTGCTGCCGGAGAGGGCGATCATACAGACGGTGGACGTGGTGAGGGGCCCGTTCAATCCCACCAACATCGAGTACCTGGAGAAGGATCTTCCATGGGACGACTTCAAGAGCCGCCTCCATTAGCAAAAAATGTAGCTCTACCAAGAATGCGGATCCTTTCAGTTGGCAACAAGGCATCTAAAATCTCTCATGATATATCAGTGGAGGTGCTAAATCAACAAAGAATATATATATCTGCATTCATATCAGTGTGATCCCGGAGGACCAGCTCATCATCATCAACATCATACAAAAAGGCCAAGATGGCCAAGGAAATATACTTGTCTGACAAGGTAGAAAGGACACTCGCATGAAAGAAAAAAGAAAGAAAGAATAGTGTACGGATCTCCATGTGAATCCAGACGTAAATGGAATTAGAGCATTCTACGGCAATGATCTGTGTGTCGCAGATGTATGTCTATCTCTTCCAGCTGTGACTTCGCTAACCGATCATTTCCACGCGACTGAGTCGATCTCGTTCCGGGCAGATTTGTACAGCTCTAGCCTCTTGACTAAGGAATCCCTCTTCTCCATCAAAGCGGGATCCTCATCCAACATCGCGCTGAGCTGTTTCTTCTGCGTTATGGAAATAAAAAGCAAATGGTGTCCAAGTTAATATAAATGTGCAAATCAATGCGACACAAGGATAAAACAAGAAAATTTTCATTTAGCCACAAATACAGTGTACATATATTTTGAAATGGATGGTTAATATTTTGAAGTAGAGTGCAATTTACTCGATATTAATTATGAGCCAACTTTCTAATCACTATGAAACACGTTATCTTTTTTTAGTTTTGAACTAAGGTAGTATAAAACATACCTCCTTGCTTCCCACATGAGCATAGAAACGGTTAAGCAAGTTTCTTTTTGCCTCCTTCACTTGACAGTGCACCACAGCTTTTGGAATGGTGTTCCTCAATGTCTCACAAACCATGTTAATGTAAGATGATACATTTGACCCTGAATAAAACAATGATGATGTCATGAATATACTTTGTCGATTTAAAAAATTAGTTCGCATAATTGTTGTCATCGAAATTCACATATGGTCATATCTTGACATGTTTGCTAGTGTCAGCACTCAGCAGAACGTGAATGGCACTAGTACCCTATGTTACATCTTAGATTCTGCTTATTAAGTCAGTTTGTTAAGTACTTCGTGTGACCTCTGTGTTGAGGTCTTAGAACAGTTGACTCAATCAATTGCCATTAAAGAAACAAAATAGAATGTTGAATTGTTACCGATTCTTCTTAAATGGTTGTCCTGATATCTGTCATTGGCTGGAGTGTTATTATTAGCCCCCTTATCTGGTTCTGTAGGGAGTTTTCTGAAAAATTCTACAGTTAGGTAGCTGGCCTCCATCTCAACAAGACGAATAACTGTCTTTCGACCATCCTCACGAAATCTTTCCAGGCTTTCATTTGCTGCAGCAGCTATATCTGTCTGAAGTGTTGGGAAACGCTTCAACTCCTGTGGCATCCAAGATAACCAATGTAAACAGTCAATGCAGGAGTGTCATTGAGTGATCAGTAATATCTACTGAGGTTCACTGAGAATTGAAAATCAACACAAACCTCTGTTGCTGCAATCGATCTACGAACAAGTTCCTTCAAGACCAAATGAACCTAGCAGATACGAGAACATAATCAACCAGATGTAGTGAACAAAACAGACGTAGTGCAATATGGCTTGACATATGAAAATGCCCCCAAAAGCACTGGAATCAAATGCCTTCCTTTGTTGAATAAACAAATGGTACATTCCAATTAAATCTATAGTATCCCTCTCTTTCCGCAATTGAGCACTTGATGAACTTAAGCACTCTTATATTCACTACTTTGACAAGAAGCTCGTCATGGTTCTGCAATCTTCTCATATGATGTTTTAGTTGTTCAACACAGGGGGAAAATGTATATATTGGATAAGAAAAGGCTAGTTTATGTAAGTCTATATATCAGTCATTGGAACAGGATCCTACTTGCTTAATAATTAAATTAAAAGTGCCTAAAGAAGATCTATTGATGAGAAGTATACCGCATCAACTGAAGCTTCCGCTGGACCCCTGAAGTAGTGGAGCGAACTATCTATAAGCCTTCTGTACCCTTGCTCAGGGGCAATCAAGTGGGGTTGATAACCATCAGCCTCTGAAATGACTTTCCGAACATTTTGCAATGAAAGATGCTTATCAAATGGAAGCTTTTTCAGTGCTGCTGGTAATTGGTGGTCAAAGACACCATAAATACGATCTCCACCTGGCCGACTAAGAGAACAAAAAATAATTGAGTGTTATTAACATGCCTGTAGATTCTTTGCCATTCATCTATGGGATACTATTTATCAATATATATGGCATAAAAAGCAACAGCACTCAAGAAAAGGGCCTAATAAAATATCTTACCCGCCATCTAGGTGCTCTTTAAAAACTCGGTCAAACGCACGACACATGTCCAATATTGTGTACAGTTGTGCCTGTAGATTATGATAAGTTTATGAGACAGCATGATGTAGACATGGTTTGGGAATAGATAATGTGCTAGGGTGCCATTCAAATGAATGTTGCAGGTTGTGGCACGAACAACATGAACCTGAACACTTGCAGAAAGTTACAACAAGCAAAGTACGGTTTTTCTTACCCCAGCATCACCTCCAATTGGCCTACCAAGGCGATCCAACTCAGCTTCAATTTCATCAATTGTTTTGTTAATCATGGCTATAATACTTGGAATTTTTGCTCTGATCACAGCCTCTAAGTGCTGAATGTGTAAATAGAAGTGTATCAGCAGTCAGCCTTTTCAATCCAGTTATTTTTTGGGGAGAGGGAAAGTACACCACAATAGCAAAATGCCCTGACCTGAGACAGAAGCTTAGCAAGGTACTCTGCACCCATTTTATGTGCCAAGTGACCATAATCTGGGCTACTTTCAAAGTACTCCTTTTCTTTGCGTCTTGCTGCTAGCATGTCGACATTCCTGTTGATATCAGCTTGTGACCGGTTGACAATTCCCACCCAGGGGTGTTGCAAACGATACTGCCTCCCTTCAAGTACCTAGGATTACATGGCGTTGAAAATGAGTGCTGTGTCCATAGCGTACAAGAGTTAAGAAAAAATGACAAGTCACATACATCAACAGCATTGGTACCCTTATCCATCAAATCAAGCTTTGTCAACACTCCAAAGGTTCTGTCACCTAAAAATATTATGAAATAAATTGTCAACAGATAAGAATGGAACAAGACAGATCACTGCAATACTGCTGTATGGCAATAAAATAAAATATGCATAAAATTATTGTCATATGTGAGAAATATTTGAAATGCCACAGTGAAGAAAATATAAAATGTACCTGAAGGATCAACATCCCTAGCAAGCTTGATAGCATCTGATGTTGCTATATCTTGATTAGCTGGAGATATGGCCAGTATGATAGAATTTGGCTGAAGTTTCCAAAAAGAACAAATGTAGGAACAAAAATGAACAGTTTTAATCAGAACATGACCAAGCAGAATTTGCAGCATATAGAAATACATTAAGTTATATTAGCATGACCATAAGACAGGCCAGAGAACAAAAGAATAATGTTTCTAGACTTGACTCGTAGTACCCACTACCCACCCCAGAAAAAAAAACTGTCACCACAAATAAACATTGGACAAGAACAATAGTAAAGCTTAGAATTGATATGGCAGGGTGGACAGTACTCATTAAGTGAATGTAGCACATGGAGCTAAAATAAACATGGCACTAATGGCATGCAACAGACTTCTTTTACCTTATCAACATAAGACCGAACCATGTTTTCAATATCTTGGACAATAGATTCTTGTTGCCCCTCTGTTAATAAAAAGTTCGTGTCACAAACAATCACATAAAAAGAGTACGCATAGAAAACTAGAAGCATCCAAGAAAACATACCTACAGCAACCTTCGTCAATCCAGGAAGATCAATAAGTGTCAGGTTTACAACTGCAAGAAAATGGGTGCAAAATTACATTAGTGAAAAAATTTATGACAAGGACTAGGATCTGCTGAGCACAAAACGTCTCTATATAACAGGTCATATGCTGCAGCACAAGCACAATGTAACTACTTTCAAATTATCATAATATGATTATTTGTTCCTCAGGGTTAAGAAATAGATTTCCAGAATGATTCCTTTTATGTACACCTTTTGAATTGTTTCTATAGTCAATATTTTGATGCTTAATTTTGTTGCATATAAAGCAGGGTCGATTATTAATATCAAACATGAAATTTTGAAGTGCTAATATAAATCTGCAGAGATGCCTCATACAGTTTGGTGTGATTAGTCTGAAAGGACCACAATGGAGGGGTTTAGACCAACATCAGAACTAAGAACAGGTGGAGAGCAGAGCAAATATACATTTTTTTTAAAGGAAACATATGCCAGCTCTCAAGTTTTGAAGAATTATAAGGGATAAATCCTGAAAGGAATCCAAATTTAAAAATGTAAAAGTAATAGTAGAAATTATCAGTCTACATCCTATTGATCCCAAATTTCATCCACAACATACAATTTAAAGTTTACAGGCATTTGGGGGAGCTGAGAGCGAGTCAGCGAAGCAGGTTCTGTTTGAATGAAACATTCATAGTACACATCACATACCAAAAGTTCAAAACAAGCATCAAGACTTACCATGTGGAGAATATATACTCAAATGGATGGGAATATTTGATATAGCTTTCGTTTTTCCAGTAATGCGATCGGTTTCATCAGCAATCTCTTTCCTAACAGCAGCTGCAATTATACAAAGAATTTAAATATTTCAACTGAACATCTCTTGCAATAGCTATGTTAGGACACTAGTAATGAACCGGGAAATAACTTTGCTCAGATACTCACTAGTATCCTACAGTGATTGTGACTTGTGAGATCTACTCCTAAACGTCATTAGTTCCTTAGTTCACACTGCATATAGCAATGTGTGGATGCTAATTGTATATGTTCTTGTTTTTAGGTTGATAGGCAAACTTCAGTGAAGTAAACTATAACCAGGGAAAGCGGTATCATCCTCCTTGCTGATCTCTCGTGGAAAAGTCTACTCGTTGGAATTAAGACAACTTTGAAGTTTGCACAACACTAACTCTAATAAATGAAATTGAATACACAAATCAACCTGCTGGACTGCAAAGCACAAATATGGCAATGATCCCTTACCAAAGTCAGTGAAACGCTTCCGCGGGGCGTGGAGGAACTCGGCGTACTCCTGCCCACCCTCCGTCTTGTGCAGCTGCAGCACAAGAGGCCTCCTCGTCACGATTCCTAATCAAACCGAGAGAATGCGCATTAATCCCTCGCAAACCAAGCCGATCCAGACGAAATGGCGCGCGAAAAAAGAAAAAAAAACGAGCGATCCAGCGTCGGCATTACCGGATCCACGAGGCAGGAAGTCCCTCCCCACTATGCTCTCGAGCACCGACGACTTCCCGGAACTCTGGATGCATCACAAACGCAAACCGAAGGGGGGTGAGCGCCATATCCAGATCTGGCCGCCATGGCTTTGGATCTGAGAGGTAGGTACGCAGGGTGGTGGCGAGCACGCGTACCTGGCCTCCGACGACGGCGACGGAGGGCAGCGCCTCCCAGAGGGAACCCCCCTCGCCGCCGCCCCCGTGGTCGCCGAGGACGGTGCACGCCCGCTGGATCCGGTTCACCAGCCCGATCAGGCTCCCCATCGTCGCCATCTCGGGCAAAGCCCCCAACCGCCTACCCGCCCAACGGCTCTGCGCGACGTCGCTGTAGTCTCCGGCTCACCGGCGGCTCACCGGAGCACGGCGGCGGCGGCGGCGGTGGAGGGTGGGATCTACCGGAGAGTGGAGAAGCGGAGGCGAGAGAAATCGAAGGAAAAATTTTTTTTAGTACCAGCGGATTTTGAAAGCGAGGCCTATGTAAGCTTCGCGAGGAGGGTGGTGGTGATGACGAACGCTGCGTGGACCGGGTGTTGGTGCACCGGGATGTGTGAGCCGGGTCACTGCATGTGGGGCCAGGGTTGCAGAGGAGGACTGCAGGTGGGCCCCAGGGAGTGGGAGAGCAGAGGAGGCGTGGGGGTAGGGGAGGTTTGGGTGGACCGGGTGCATGGGACGGAAGCCGTTGGATTCGCGTTGGGAGGGAGCCGACGGGGGGAGTGGTGGTGGGACCATGATGTCTGGTGCGTGACGCGTGAGCCGCACCTTACCTGGGAGGCTGGAGCGTGCGCTCACGTTGGATGGGGAATCGACGGTCACGGTGAGATCGGCTAACGTTCGGAAACAGCCGAGAGGAGTGGCGAAAGAGAGGAACTACCTCCCTACAAAATATTGGAGCTTTCTTATATCTTACTATTATTAGCTTCGTTCTAAAATATAATATTTTTTAAATTATTTAATTAAAACTAAGATTAAGAAAGAAAACTTTAGTATTATGAATACTAAGATAAGATGAGAAAACATTTGAATGGGTGATAATTAATAGAACAAATACTATTATGAATAGTGCAGCAAACCAATTTCATATCATCTTACCTTATATTATCACAATCTCAAATATAGTTACTTTTGGGTTATGTAGGTGGACAAGCATTTGTCCAAGTATAAAACCAAAAGTTCTCGAGGAATTAGAACTAATGGCCCTTTTATTTGGAGGAAACCATAATAATTTTGGAGGATTTCAACCCTATGGAGAAATTTCCTATGACCTTTGAAACAAAGGATTGAATCATATCATATCCTTTAAAATTTCTATAGAATGAACAATCCTATCAGAATCTTATGTTTTGCACTTGTATTCCTACCATAATTTTGTGTTTTTCCTATCCCTCCGTTTTTCCATTCCTACAATTCAAAGAAGCTCTAAAGGAATGCTCTAGATCAACTGTTTAGATGCCATACGGTAAGAGAGAAGCATAAGCGTAACTCCAACAAACTATCTATCTTACTCTTCGAAGCAAAATTTGACAAACTTAGATAAAAAAATCCTCGAACAAACTTGCCAAGCCAAATGAGTGGCCAAAATTCTCACTTGGATGGCCAAATCTAACAAGTTGATAGCCTCATCGGTTGTCCATATCCCTAGTAAGTCGTTTTGGCTTACTAGGGAATAAAAATTAATTTAAAGGTAAAATTTTTATACATTTGTTCGTAGCGATTTAAGTTAATATAAAAAGAAATTACGTTGAAAATATCTTAAAATCAAGTTAAAAAATTCAAATTTTGGCTTTTGTTTTGACTCATTAGGCCGACCGATGGGGCACACCTCCCCCACCTTCTCTCTTCCCTCCCCCATCCCTCTCAAGCACAACATATAGGTCCCACTGTCACAAACTCAACGGAGGGTGTAGATGGAGAGGTTGGAGCACAAATGAAATATGGAGAGGAAATTTTTTTTATCAACTTGCCAAATGTGGAGATGGAGAGTTTGATTTGGGTATGCTGTTGGAGATGCTCTTAGGTGAAGATCTCATGTTTATTTCCTAAGAATTCAAATAGAGCTCATCTCATATCATAGGGACTTCAGTTTCAAACCCTCCAAAATTATTTCCTTCGTTCTAGAGGAGCCATAAACTCGGAACGATGTGGTTCCAAGAGGGGAGGAACGGGAAGGGCAATTAGGATCAAATTAGCCATAATTAGTGATATGCCATGCCATTCTATTGCTCAATGGAAGCATAGGCATTAGCTGGGGGAGCCATTGCCCATTGGTCAAAGAAAGCAAAGAGAAGAGCCAATCCAAGAGTAATATATCTGCATCCATTTTCCATTGTTAGATACAAACTCTAAAAAGGGGGAGATAAGTAAACCATTTCCATTATCTAATGGGGAGATAGGAACCACAGACATAACATGACCCAGAGTTACGTGAATACAAACTTATTATCATTATTCGGCAGATTCTTGGTGAAGTACAACAGAGAATCAGATCAATAAGTACAACACATACATTACATTACATACTCAACACATCAACAAATGGCACACCCAAAATTCTGGAGTACATAAATAGATGAGGCGACGCCTTTATTCCAAAAGATGAAGCAAATGACCCTACTACCTGAATGGATCGATCTTGGTAAGCCTCACCAACTTATGGGAGCAAAGGAACTTTAACAGTCGGTCCGGTTTTGATTCGAGTCAGTGGCATTAGATCTTCGGATCGCGCAAGAGGAGCCGGTATATCTCGTTGTTCTGCTCCGACATGTACTCGTACCCAAGATTGTCAGCACGGCTCTTGAATTCGTCAAACTCCTCCGGCGGCACTTGTATGCCAACCAAAACATTCGCTCCGGTTTCACCCTGCAGATGATAATTTACGTATATGCTGGAGTTCACTAAGATGTTTAAGGGTTTTGCAAGTTCGGCAGAACTAATGTAACCAATATGTTAAGTCTCAACACAATTTAGATGTACATTTTTGTCAAGTGAAAATGGAAAGGGAATATTGTACAGGATAGATGGCAATAAAATGACGATTTCAGATGCATGAGATTGCAATTTTCATACAAGACTACTTTACAGCAGGGAAACTGATGAATAATAAATCTGTCACACACCTGTGCACGGTAATGGAAAAGGCTGATATTCCAGCGGGGGCTGAATGCATCCAAAAATTTCATAAGTGCACCAGGCCTTTCTGGGAAAATGAACCGGTAAACAAGTTCATCTGTTACTTCTGACCTGCCACCAATCTGAAAATAGATGGAAAGGAAAAGCAAATTAAGGTAGCCGCATATTTGAATATAAACAAATTAAAAGAACACCATCCCTTAAGATCAGCTGCAACAAAATTTAGCAGAGGTTCACAAAATTAACTTGGACATATCTGTGTTTTGGGAGGTAATTTTTTTTATTTGAATCACAAGGCAAAACCAGAGGCACGGACATATGATTGACTGCTTGTTGCACCAAACAAGTTCTTATTTACAATGTAGCAGTTGATAATTTCATCAATTTATCTGCAGCCTTTTCAACTGGAACATCTCTATAAAACCAGTTGTAACATGTTTGCATGCACAAATTCAGTAATGAATTTTATGGCACTTGCAATGCTATCACTGAGGATGTTTAGGGACCTAGATGAAACTGTAGACACGTTTAATCACTGTTAGTGTCATTTACTCTAAAAGTGATTAGATTTAGTTTCCAAAAAAATGTGTGGCATTGTTATAAAATTGGCAGAGAAATCCAACTTACAAAGTATCTTAGATGATCCTTTGCCAAATCATTGTCAGTAAGATCAACAGTTCTCAATTTTGAAGATTCCATACGTTCCACCATTGCTTTAAGTTCATCGTCAGTGTAGATGCCAACACTGGGATATATAAAATCAAAGCAATCGTATAGTTAGCCAGGAGCCCAAGAATATAAAAGAGCAAGGGACGCCATATTCTTTCCATAAATAAGTGTCAACAGAAAATAGTAAAGAAATTATATGTTGGATAGTGAGCCCAAAGATCCTTGATGTTAATGCACAATGCTATTAACATATTAGTGTCCATGTACCTGTAAAGGACAAGGGCATCTTTTGCATTGCAATCGTATCTGTATTTGAATTCAGTAATATTCATCCGGCCAACCTGCAGAGAGTTGGAAGAAAAGAAATGAAATTAGAAGTTGCAAATTTTTACATATTGGTAGAAATACCGCAAGGCATACCAGCTCTGCAAACTTTTTGAAGCTTCCCTGCTCCTCTGGCAAAAATGTGGCAAGAACTGCTTCTCGTTTTCGACCAACATCAGCCAGCTCAGTTACTAATCTGAGCCGATCAAAGTTCATATTTGCTCCACTAGTTATTGCAACAACATTTTCCCCTTTCAAGCCATAGTATTTGCAGTAAGCTTCAGCTCCTGCCAGCGCAAGGGCACCAGCAGGTTCAAGTATGCTTCTTTTCTCCTCAAACATATCCTGCAGCCATGACCAAAAAAAATTATAGGGCAGAACCGCAGAAGCATTATAAGGGTAAGATTGGAATATAGCAGTAGTCCGATCATAGATTCCTAGCACCCTATAAAGAATGTCAATGGAATAGGATTATACATTAGTTGAAAACCAATGCCCACAAGCAACTCACAAAAAACTAGGCTAGTGTACAACATTTATAAGACATGTCCGCTACAGAGGGTTTTGAACAAGTAATCTTTTTAAACTATGGAGCATAGTATTCACAGACCACTGCAATATAGAATTTTGATGCAGGAAACCGGTGTATATTTCTTTTTCTTTTATTGAAACCAGTACCTTTAATGGAGCAGTTGGGATTTAAGTTAGTTGAGAGAAACAGGTTAGTGTTCAGTTTTAACAACAATCTAAAATATTATGTAAAACAAGACACAAATAATCGTGAGTTCATACCTTTATTGAAGCACAAATAGCATCTCGACTGACAAGAACAATACCATCTACAAGTTCCCGGCACAAGCGAAATGTTTCCTCCCCTACAACTTTGACAGCCACACCATCAGCAAACCCACCAACTTGCTCCAGCATGACCCTTTGACCATGACACAAGGACAATGCCATTGCATTTGCATCTGATGGCTCCACTCCAATTATTTTCACCTGTAGAAGAGCTGCTGTAAAATATACAGAACATTCCATCCCAACCTGACTAGAGTGCAACAATGCAATGAAACACATATATTAATTGCAACACTGATAACAGCTACAACTAGGTCCGAAAAACAACTTAATACCCCCCAATTTGGGCTTAAAACTATTGCCATGCTCCATGATGACATTTATAAAGAGGTTTGTTTCCTCTTGCATTAAAAAAACGAACTTGGCCCCAAAGGGAAAGACCTCCCAAGGTATTATAATTAAGAAGCACCTGAAACTAGACCGAAAATGGTCATGAAAGCCAGCCCCTCCCTGTGGATCAGTCCTTAACCCGTGCTTTGAGGCTTAAAGAAAACTAGTCTAGAAAAATAGGAAGCTAACCTCTGGGCGAACCCTTTTTACATAGGCAGCGATCCCAGCAATTAATCCACCTCCTCCTACAGGTACAAATATGGCATGAAGTGGGCCTTGCAACTGCCGAACAATTTCCATGCCAATCGTTCCTTGTCCACTTATAACATCAGGATGGTCAAAAGGAGGTATGAATGTGCGGCCTTCCTGCTCGCATCTTTGTTTTGCATATGATTGAGCTTCATCATATGAGTCCCCTTTGAGTACAACTGTTGCACCCAATCTCTCCACCGATCGCCACTAGAATTCAAAACAATAGGTTTACTATGTAATGAGCAAAAGGTAAGATAAATCACATAGAAGGACAGGCTTAAAGTGATGAAATCTGCAGATCAAGAACCTTGATTTCAGGCGTTGTCACAGGCATGACAATAACAGCATCGCAACCGAGTCTTTGAGCGGAAAGGGCCACTCCCTGGGCATGGTTCCCAGCAGAGGAGCAGATGACACCCCTCTCCAACTGTTCACGCGAGAGCTTTGCCATCATATTGTATGCTCCTCTCAACTTGAATGAGAATACCTACACAACAAGTAACCAAAATTATATCTGGCCAGTAAAACTGCCAATTGTACTGTCAGAAGTCAGAAGAGCAATATATGTAAAGCTACAGAAAACTAATGCTAAAGTAGAAACTAATGCTAAAGTAGAAATTGCGTGTACTTCTCAAATTTCAATCAACATGAAACTAGCATTCAATAACATTAAAAAAACAGTAGACAATTATGAAAAACAATAACAATAACGAACAATACATGTACAGTGCATGTGTATAGAGAGATAATTAAATATGCAATCAAGGATATCCCCTTGGTGCTATTGCTATGTCAATATTTTCTTATTATTTTGAATGAACAGGCAGGAGAACTGCCAATTATACTGATAAAGCAGGAGCAAATAAAATAAACAGAAGGCATAACACCAATACATCATGCTAGTCAATGACAATGATAATGACGGTAGAAAGTCCTTCAGGTATATCAGAGTATGAACAAACTTTCACGTTCCTTGAAGGCTTGAAACGGGTAGCCCATCCATGAAACATAATAAGTTCAAAACTTTGATAAGACTCCAACAAAACCCAAGCGCCTAAACCTGATGACTCTACATTCCTCAGTTTAATATTAGCGCAGATGAACAAAACATTGTACTCCCCCCGTCCCTAAATATTTGACGCCGTTGACTTTTTTAAACATGTTTGACCGTTCGTCATGTTCAAAAAATTTAAGTAATTATTAATTCTTTTCCTATCATTTGATTCATTGTTAAATATAATTTTATGTATACATATAGTTTTACATATTTCACAAAAGTTTTTGAATAAGACGAACGGTTAAACATGTATAAAAAAAAATCAACTGCGTCGGAGGGAGTATTTTCCATACAGGAACATCAAACAAGCACCCTACGAGTCAATACCCTGTCCAGCACTGAAAGTGCACTCATCTCAAAATTTCAGCAATCAATAGGATGTAACTATACAAAATCCCTTAAAAATTGACACGATAAGAACCCTGTAAATTAAATGTCCAACCAGGAGTATTGGTTATAAGTTGATGAAAAACATTTAAAATTAAACCAATTTGAGAACAAAAATTCACAAAGAAGAACGAGCAAAAGCAAAACACCCTTAAACCTCTATTACCCCGAGAAAGTTTGACAGCAACGTGTCCAAGCGAAGGTGGACAACTAAAGAAAATATCCCAATACTTATCCAACAATCAAAGAATCCAGAGAATCCAAACATCCTATTCAAGCCCACTGAAAACAACACAACACACCGATTCCGAGGTAAAAACCCCCCCGAAAACCCCTAAACTTATCGAACGAATGTTCTATCTAATTACACGATTGTGACGATTGACAATGCCAAATCATTCCGAATACGAGTAGAAGCTAGCTAAGCCCACAAGGAAGCCACCATATTTTCTGAAAAGTAATATTGTTTCAGCATAAGATCGCCTAAACCCCCCCCCCCCCCCCCAAAAAAAAAGGCGCATCAGAAACACGAATTAGCCCAAATGGGCGGGGAACGGATAGGGGGGATTACGGGCTGCAGGTCCTCGCGCTTGATCCACAAGTTGACGCCGAGGCGCTCGGAGAGCTTGGTGGCGAGCTGGAGCGGCGACTCGATGGCGACGTCGTACACCTTGGACGAGAGCACGCTGGTCAGGTACTCCATCGCGCCGAGCCCTCCCGCCGCGTCCCCTCCCACCGCCTCCGCCTCCCCCTCCCCAATCCCCTCCTCCCCGCGGCCCCGCACGAGGTACCCGCTCTGCCGCTGCAGCGTCTCGGGCGCCACCCGCATCATCGGCAACGGCGGCGCCGCCGCCGCCATCGCCGCCTCCGGTGACGACGCCGTCGCCGCCGCCGCCGCCGCCACGCGCGTTGGATGCCTGCGCCCGCGCGCGCGCGGCACGGCGGCGGTGAAGGTGGAGGTGGCCGCGGCCGCGGCGGTGGCGGCGGCCGCCATGGTGGTGGTGGTGGTGGTGGAGAGGGAGGCGGGCGGCGTGGTTGGGGTGGGGTGCGTCACGAGTCACAGGAGGGTGGGCAAGGGCAAGGCGTAGGATGGGAATGGAATTGATTATATGATGTGGCGCGGGCGAGCGGGCGGGGCGGGACGGACGACTGGATCCTTCACGTTTTAGGCCCTGTTTGGATAGGAAGCACACAAAAATTGGCCTGTTTGGTGGGAGTTTAAAATTCTGAGAAACAATTGGTTGGTAACCAGCTTCTAAGAATCTGGAAAAGCTGGAAAATCCAGTTTCTAGCTTATAGTTCATTTTTTGGATTATACATTTACAGCTTCTCAGAATCGAGACCAAAAGCTATACTGTTTGAGGGAGCTTCTGATTCTGGGAGAAGTTGCAGCAGCTAGAAACTAATATTTCTGTGAGAGCCATTCAAACAACCCATTAGACTGTGTTTAGTTTCTGAAATTAGGGAGAAGTTTGGGGAAAGTTGGTAGTTTGGAAAGAAAAAGTTGGGAGTTTATGTGAGTAGGAAGGTTTTGGATGTGATATGATGTGATGAAAAGTTGGGAGTTTGGGGGAAGTTTGGTGTGAACTAAATAGGGCCTTAGTCTTTTTTCTAAAATATAAAAGTTATTTTACATATTGATCCTTAAAAAAAACCTATATAAGTATAAGACTTTAGCTCGGCACCAAAGTTATTGGCGCGCAGGTTAAATGAGTTGACCTAACGATATTGTCGCTGACAGAGTTGGGTATTTAGCTATTTGGCATCGACCACCAGTGATTCAGTTTCGTGCCAACGGTTGTAGTTTTGGCATCAACACGTTTAATGTTGGTACCAACGACTCTAGCGTTGAGCCAGGATTTGTCATGGGATAAGTTTCTTTCAATTGTTTAAAAGAGAGGGTTAATGTTTTAAGAGGTGTATTAGCTTTTCAGTGCCGACCACCTAGTGACTTAAGTTACCTTTGGTATCAAGACATCAAATGTATGCATTATCAACCCCAGCGTTAAGTTAGAGGTTAGTAATTGTTAGGATAAACTTTTCTAAGGTCTATTTACAAAATAAATTTTATAAAAGGGCTAAAATGTCATAAATCTAGGAGCGGGCGATGTGGAGTGGGGCCCGATGGCGGGAGATCGGGGGATTCCTGGTCCGCGCCTTTTTCTTTCCTTTTCTTGTGTGGCTTTTGTGGCGTCGTTTTCCTGCGCGGGCCGGAACCATGTTTAACACAAGCTCTTTTTTTTTCTTTTTAGTTTTGTTTAAGTTTAACCCAAACAATTGAGCTAATGAATGATGACGTGTGTGGAAGAAGTCGGTCAGTACGGCCGTTTGTGCAGGAGTACGCAGGAACGAGCAGCACTTTAGTACGTACGTACCTGTGGTTCGATACGGTATTTTTGCTTGAGTGAAGCGTCAAACGATTAATTGGCCGACCTAAACCGTCTAATATCATATTGACTATCGGGTTAGGAATAACACTATTCTCTAAGCTTAGGTATATACGCTATCGTTATGTAATATTGTGGCATTATTATATTGCTTCCGTAGTTAGGCAAGGCCGTAGTAGACATATTTTTATTAGTACTTGGTGAGTACTCCCTCAATTCTAAAATGTATGACACCGTTAATTTTTTTCACAATATTTCACTATTTGTTTTATTAAAATAAATTAGTATAAATATGTAAAAGTATAAGTTAAAATTATATTTTATTTAATGATAAATTAAGTTATAATATATACAAATATTTTAAATAAGACAAATAATTAAATGTTATAAAAAAATTAACGGCGCCATATATTTTGAAATGGAAGGAGTACTAAAACTGATGTTTACAACACGAACGACATAATGTGTCTAAAATATCTCTGAAACTGACCAACCGCAAATTATTGTAGTCCGCTCCGAATCTGAAGTAGAACTACAATTTTTTGCGCCGTTAACGCCCAGCTGCACAATAACACTGGGTAGCTTGCAGGGCCGAATCTTGTTCACGTGACAGTGCACGTTTGCACGATATTTTACATGCAGGCTCGATGGTTTGTTATACAGGTGCACGCGGAACACGAACAGGGTAGCCTGACGAATTAAGTCTAATCTAAGATTAGCATCTTGGTCGGTTTCGGTTGGCGTGTTTTGTCGTAATTAGCTTTTCAAGTCGTATGTGGACTGTGGAGTAAACTACCACTACCATCTCTCAAAAAGAGGTCGTATATAACCATTTATACCACGAAGAGAGAGCTGCTTTTGTAACAAATCTCACATCCTCGAGCAGCTATTTGCTCGACACACGATGGAATGCACTTACGCCGAACGCACGCTGTTTTGAACGCTTCGCAAGGTCATATATAACCATGGCAAATGAGAATGCACATGTTGATAATTACAGTAGATTGCATGGCAAGCGTCCATGTTTATCATTTGTGAAAACAGAAAGTTTAGTTGTGATGCAAGACGTAAAGATTCACGCATTCATTAACACCATGGCACGTTGGGACGGACAAAACCTTGCCCGGGCACTCATTTAGAACACGTTTTTTAGAAATAAACAAAAAAAAAGGGGGTTCAATTCTCGCAAGAACAGAAAGCTTTTCAAAATTTCCAACGAAACAGTTTACCTGGGCTCCATTTGGACGGACGCTGATGTCCGTGACTCCTACACCGTTTCACTGATGAAACGTGCGGTTGGCCCCAGCCTCTGGCATCCAATCAGCACTTCAGCAGTACAGCTGCAACCTACAGCAAAAAGGGGCAACACTGGAGTTGGATTACAGTATAACGTCACCGCAAAAACATTTCCATGGTTTTAAACAAGTTTGGGTCAGAACTTAAGGACATGGATCCTCTGCATTACTGCACCTGCCGTAGCAATGGCTGATAGGTGAGTCCGATCCCCCATGTCAGCGACAATTACTACAGGTGCAGTAATGTAGAGGATCCCCACTGTAGAACTTAAAAAACTGGGCAGACTCAATCTTCAAGTGAATTTTTGTTCTGTCCACTTTGAAGTTTTTACATCGATCCAGATAGATGATGCTACTTGTTTAGACAAGAATATAAAAAACAGCAGTGAAATAGATGTATAGAGTAGCTACTTCAGAAATATATGATCCACCCTAAAAAAATAAATATATATATGATCCAGGGTACGGTGAGCACCTTGAGAGTAGCAGAATAGAAATGTTTCGAGAATAGTACACTTCAAGAGCACGTTCACATTGTGCTCGGTAATGTACAGGATAACAGGACACAATCCCTTGCATCCCTCTGTGCCTATTCAAGTGCCAAAAATGCCAAACATGCGATAGCATTGGCAATATGTATGCTTGAGCTCTCCACTGGTCCACTTCGTATTAAGTTCACAACTAATAACTACTGTACAGCATAGAGGTCCCCCAAATAAATGGTTACAAACTACACAAGAATTTTAATCCCAAAATCTATCTTTCTACCCACATACATATAGTTATCTAGGAGTATTTGAAAGTATACACAAAAGGTGTTTATGGTTAATTCCAGAGCAACTCATCAATGGTCATCTCAACATGTTAAAGCAATAAATCCAAGATTCATAGGTATATCTTACTGCACAGATAAAAAAAAAGAAGAAGTATCTTTCTGTTCTAACATCCAAGGTTCCTCAATTTATTGTACGTATGCTGGGAGAAATCCACTATCAATTTATCATGGGCGTATGCAGGGGGACCTATAAGATTCATCAAAGATTAATCCTAAATAAACTTGAACCAAGAGTTACACTAAAGCTCTAGCTACATAGTATGATGATTAATTTGCTAATCAACTGGGATGGCCAGTTTTCTTAAGCTCTAGCAAATTGCTCTGTTGATTTTTTTTTTTGGTTAAAACACCGTGTTTTCTTGAAAAAAAAACTAGCATAATTTCCTATGCAACACAGATGTTAACAAGAATTAAACAGTACAAACGATGCAAATTGCATTGATTCTTCCTAGCCATGGCAGCACAGGCAACACATTAGCTAGAAGTTACAAACAAACATCCAAACCCACAACTTCATGTCATCCAAATGACCAAATCATGCTTTGGAACTGCCAAAACATGAAACGAGTCAATTAAAATTAAGAGAAAGAAAGAACAATGTGAAATAAATCAAAGATAACAGAAAATAGTGCAGACAGCTTAGCTTACACAGTTGCAGTTGCCCTTTGTTATGAAACCAGAGAGCTTTTTTTTTTAAATTTTTTTTGCATCCATCACACTGCCATATAAAAAATTTTCAATAGCTGGTATATCAGTATCTGCAAGCTTAGTAACTCAACCATTGGCCTAACCATTGTTAACAACTCAACAGCAATATGAACACCCTTCCAGAAGCTATGGGATCTAACAATCTTACAAGATAGCTTTCATTTATCGTTCATACAAGAAACGAGAAGTCCACAACCATTTAGCTCATGAAATCCAAACAACTGTTAAATTTAAAATGTCCAGTGGCAAACAAGTAACAGGAGTATGAGCATAGACAATTGGTGATTACCTTTGCCTTGAAGGTTATGTTAGTCACACTTTAGGTGTAGCCCAATATCTTCTAGCATGAGGTCGCTGATGTGGGCTGTGTAATTGTGCCAATATAATTGTTGTTGCTTTAACATCAACAATGCCCATGGTCTGGTTTGCTCTTCTTGTTTCAGTGGCCATTTGACAGCTTTTTTCTCACCTAATTTTTCAATACAATCATCAATTAGCTCCACAATCATCCTTATCAACTGAGGCATCAACAATCAAGACAACAAACCGCATAAAGCAAATTTATTACCTCAGAAGTGGCCAACCATGCCCATAGCCTGTCAAAAAGCTCATAGAAAATCAGAACCTTTAAATTTCAACCATGGCCACCAATTGGTTCCAGCAGACTGTGAAACCTAAGCAATGTTACTATATTAAATGGAGCATCAGCTTCACAGAACAAATGAGCAATATATCAACAAGTACAATCTCTCTTCTCTAATTTTGCTTTTGTGGTCGGTGAACTGCATCGTCTCTCTAGGACCTGCTCTTCTTGACTCTTCTGACTTGAAGTTTGATTGATGTGATAATGAACGTGACCTGGTTGACGAGGCAAAGCTGCACTGGGAATAAAAGGACTAAACACTTTAATAACACTCAGCAGACAAGAATTAAGATTATTTTGTCTAGAATCTATACAAGAGACTTGGATAGACAAGTATATTCTAGAGCAGAAGAGCTTAGAGGAAAGATTAGAGCATCAATTTCAGAACTCAATAAATTAAATGACTAAATAAGAAATATTAGCTTCATGGTTACAAGAAAGATGCAAAATGTACACCAAGAGGGGGTTCTCCTATTGTATATGTGGATACTTGGCTGGCTTTAGTGGGCCTAATTTCAAAATATCTAACCGCATGAAAAAAACAAGGAACAATTGCTTATTTGACCCTGTTTTGAAAAAAACAATGAATATCGATGATATATCATGCATGGCACATTGGCGCAACACAATATATCATCAATAAAGATGATAAACAGCTACAATATTGTATATATCCTTCTAGCGCTGGTCCCTTTAAGATGCTAAATAATGCTATAGCACATCACATGTCACCATTATTTGCAAGTATGTATGCCAATTATCCATTCATGTAAAAATGGAAGGGAACCAGGTCAAGCATCTAAGGGGAGAAAACTTAAAACTGGATAGGTCAGCACAATGAAAAGCACTGATGACCAATCCTAAGATGACAATGTTCATGCACATCTGGACATTTCAAAAAAATAAATATCACTTCTAGAATTGTAAGTGTATGTGTATGTGTAACACCACAATTTGTATGAACAAAAACAGATCCCAGTTATCCGATATTTTAACCATTCTTCGAAGGAATTTTCACTTCTTCAGTAGATAAGCGTGATCAAGTAACTACAACTATCCCTATACATACATTACATTTCCATTTATCAGATGTTCATATGATAAGCTCTCAAAAGATAATGAATCAAAATTCGACCAAAATTTATTCTAAAATTTAAATAAAATACTGCAAAATGTACCTTGTGGAGTTTTAAATCCACTCTCTCAAATGTCATCTGGCCAAACACCTGTCTTAATAAGTGATGTTTGGTATTTCATCACGTCATCTAGGCTGCTGCCTTTTCTTTTCAATCTCCTTATCAAGGAAAACCAATATTGTTTCCGTGGCATAGTTCGGAGCAATTCCTTCTGCAATCATCTTCCTCAAATACTTGTCAGCTTCCTTTAATCTACCAGCTTTTGCATTAATATTGATCAAGGTATTAAAAGTGACAACATCTGGTTTTATGCCCCTCCCAATTATCTGCTCAAGCAAAGAGTTTGCTTCGTCAACCTTCCCGGCCTTTCCCAATTGATTGATCAATGTGTTATACATGACGATGTCCATGTAAACACCTTTCTTTGACAGTTCACTAATAATCGAGCCAGCAACCTCTGCTTTTCCCATCTGACCAAGGCCTTGAATGATCAGATTGTATGTAGCTATATCATTGGGGCAGAGCTGTCCACCTCTCTCATGAAGAATTGCCCATACCTGTTTCAAATACCCTTTCTTGACAAATGACGTCATCAATGAATTGTATGTATAACTCGTTCCTTTCCTTCCCAGAGTTGTGAAGATCTCAAACAACTTGCAAGCTACACTCAACTTCCCTTTCGCTAAAAAAATTGACATATATGTATTAACCATGTCAGCATCAAATGTCTTGGCTCCCATACCTTGCACCCTCTGCCCTCTGTCAATTGTGAATATAGCAGAACTATTCAAATGATCAGCATGTTTAGCAAGATGATCTAGGTGCGGTGACAAAGACCAATCATCCTTGGGCTCATCTTTTGGTGTTTCTTCATTTGCACCAGTGCATACCACGGGATTGACCAAACTCATCACATCATCAATATTGCCATCAAAGGGAAAAATTGATGTTCCATCTTTCTCTCTGTCCTGTGGTCCTTGCAAAGCAGACATCATATTTGATTTCCATCGAATAGCATCTGGCAACACAGAACTATCTCTAATGAACTTAACTATCTGCTCTTCCAAGTCCCAACGTCTACTCTTGTTAAACCCTATGAGCAATGATGTTACTGTGACCAAATCAACAGCAAACCCTCGCTCCTCCATTTCCTTCATTAACTCTACCGCCTCCGCAACTTGGTCCCCCTTCCCTTCCTTGCAAAACTCCCTCACCATAATACTATATGCAATCCCATCCAACAGTTGGCCTTTTCTCCTTAGATCATAAAACAGCCGGCACGCTGCTTCTGCTCTCCCATTCTTGAATAGCCCATCAATCACTGTGTTGTGTGTGCTTGCTGAGCATTGAATACCATCCGCCACCATTGTCTCAAAAAAACCGCATGCCTCATCCAGCTTCTTAGCTTTGAAAAGCCCATCCAGAAGCGAATTGTACACCACAGCATCCCCCTTCACCCCATAGCTCCCTCGCATCTCCTGGAACAAACGCAAAGCATCATCCATCCTAAAACTCTTGCAGCACCCATCCACGATAGCCCGGTAGGTGAACACATCCGGTTCAATCCCAAATGACTTCATCTCATCATACACCACTAAAGCATCAGCGACCCTTGCACCAACCACAAGCGCACGGATGAGCGAATTGTGTGTGCATATGTCTGGCACAAGAGGAGGAGAGGCGGTCTTCATAGCAGCAAAAAGCTTTAGCGACATATCCAGCCTCCTCCACTTGCCAAACGCGTGGATGCAAATGTTGTAGAACCTTATGTTAGAAGGGAGGCCCCTCCTCGACATTTCGCCGAACACGTGACGGAAGTCATCGTAGAGGTTCTCTTTGGACAAGGCGAGGAGGAGGCGATTGGTGGCTCGGACGGGGGGCGGGTGTGAGGCAATGGGGAGAAGCCTGCGAATGGCAGGGACGGCGGAGATGGGGTCAGGTGAGGCGATGAGGGAAGGGATCGCGGCGGCGGCTAGACGGGGCAGGAGATCAGGCGGAGCAGCGTCGAGGAGGGCGAGCGCGGCGTCGACGCGGGAGGCGGAGAGGAGCGCGGAGAGGAGGGCGGGGAGGAGCTCCGAGGGGCACGACGAGGAGAGCGCGAACGGGAGGAGCGCGTCGAGGAGGGGAGGCGAGTGCGTGGCGAGCGCACGGACGAGCACGGGGAAGGTCGCGGCGAGGAGCGGGCAGGACGGCGGCGTGGCGGCGAGGAAGAAGGAGAGCTTGGACGTCGGCGGGAGCGCCGGGTGGCGGAGCACGTGGAGCCGCACGGGGAGCGGCAGCGGCGCCGCGGGCAGGAGCTCCGGCGGGATGTGCGGCGTCGTGAGCAGGTGGTTCGCGAGCCGCGCCGCGAGCAGCGCGTCGGTCAGGCCCGACAGCGGCGCCCCGGCCCCGGCCCTGGCCGCCGCCGCCGACGCGAGGCCGCGGATCGGCGCGCGCCACATCACGCACGCGACCACCGCGCCGCGCGCCGCCGCCTCCCCGCCGCTGCCGCTGCCGGCGTGCGTGCGTGCGTGCGCTCCGCGTGGTGGCGCGGTCCGCGGTGAAGCGACGGTGCGCGACCGCGGCCAAGGCAGAATGGCTATGTTGTTGGGCCGTTGCGCGGCTCGTTGGCTGGGCCGCGTGTTGGGCTCTGGTGGACGCGTGGTGCAGTTAGGCCGTGATCCGTGGACTTTGACTCGAGTCGTGTGATCTGAAGAAAATCGCGGGGGAATATCCTCGCGATTCGCGAAGATTCAAGCGGAGCCACGCGTTGCTGCTTGGTGAGCAGCACACTCGCGCTTGGCTTCTTACTCCACTCGACGACTGATGGAATAAGGGCGAGTACTGTAATGCCCCATATATTATCTCTAATGGTATCACCTATCTATTTTATAAATAAGGTGTAGATCCTGTGTCAGTAGGTATTAGTTATTGTTGTAGTCACAATAGTAAAAAACAAAAGTGGGTAGTAAGCTGGACCCCACAATCGCTCGCTACGAGAGAAATCATTTGTTTATTCCTTATGACTAGGTAGTAAGAATAATGCCTGGTATTAGTTACTTACCGGAAATGCTACTTGGCGATCGCTAGCTTAGAGTGACCGGGTAGCCCCCCCCTCCTCCCTTACCTTTTTTGGCACCGCATTACTTTTCTATTTTAGTAAATATATGCACCTAAAGTTTATACAACTCAAGTTTACACATCTAAAGTTTAGAGACCAAAAGTATATAAGTCAAAAGTTTATATATCCGATTCAAATTTGAATTTAAATTCAAATATTTTTTATATATATAGTATTTCTATACATCTAAAGTTTATACACCTAAAGTTTATATATCCGATTCAAATTTGAATTTGAATTATATCCTATTTAAATTTGAATTTGAATTCAAATATCCTATTCAAATTTGAATTTGAATTCAAATATTTTTCATATATAGTATTTCTATGCATCTAAAGTTTATACACCTAAAGTTTATATACCCGATTCAAATTTGAATTTAAATTATATCCAATTCAAATTTGAATTCAAATATTATATATATATAGTATTTCTATACATCTAAAGTTTATACACCTAAAGTTTATAGACCCAAAGTTTATAAGTAAAAAGTTTACATACCCGATTCAAGTTTGAATTTGAATTCAAATTTTTTATACATAATTTTTTCTAACTTTTGTTTTTTTAAATTTTTTTTGTGGTGTACTGTAATAGGAAAGGAATGGGAGGAGGAAGGGGAGAAGGGAGCGGGAGGTGGGACCGATCGTTGGGCGATCGCCCATTAGGCCCCCCGTTACTTACCACTCCCACAATGTATACAACCTGGTAGTAAGGAGTATTTTATTCCTTACTACCCACTTTAGATGCACATTATGGATGCCCTAAGAGTGTCATATTGGATTGAGTAATAAGGTGGAGAAAAGAAGTGAGGAGAGAGATAATGAGCCACCCCTAAACCAAGAGACAACCTCCACACAAAATTCAAGAAGGGTGTGAGAGTATTAGATATATTGGTATTTGTGAACTAGATGTGATGTATCGTATGGGTTGTCTCTTAGTTCATAAGTGAATAGAATAGATAAATTTATAGGTGTTAGTCACATATATCATAGCACTTGCCCTTAACTAGGGTATTTGCCACTCTTACAAGTGGTTCTAGATGATTTTTTATTGGACCCATATGTTATAGACACATGGAGACCCATATGTCATGGACAACGAGAGAGAAATCATTAATTGGCACATCTTAAAGTGACAAATAATTAAATCTCCCACGACTGATTGTCATTCAATAGCGGTTTTATCGCGGGTGCATTTTTCAAGTTTTTAAACGGTAAGAAATTTAAACTATATTTCTATATATTTTCAAAAATCTATTTTTAAAATTTTGAATATCCAACTTATTCGTTTGTGTTCCAGGCAGGAGTACTGCATTTCCGTGCCGACCGGCGACCGGCGACCGGACTGGGCACCGCTCTGTTTGCTAGTGGACGGCGCCATACCGCTTGATCTAGATAAGCTTTCCAGGCGAAACGGCAGAGATGGAAGATAAGCAAAGTTGGATAGATCGATCTGTGGAATCGCTTCTCAGCTCTCACACGTATGCACATAAGTCACCAGCTCACCATGGGCCTATTTGGCTTTCTACCCTACTAATTAATTGGTAGTCCTAAAATCTAGTCAAATTTTGGCACTACCAATTTTTTGATAGGGCAAAGTTAACTAGTCTATGTTTGGTTTAATACCAATATAAAACCAAAATTTAGTATAAGAGTGAAGAAGATTCTAGAATGTAGCCAAATTAAGCGTGGGCCCTATTAATTATTTGGCTTCAATTCAAACTAACATGTTTACTATTAAATTTACCAAAATTTTGGTAGGGTCACGTTTTATCTTCGATATAAAACTTCACGGCGTATTGTTAAGAAAGAAAAATCTTCCAGTGATACCTGTCGGTAGTCACGCTATATTTCAAAAGGAAAAAAGAAACAAAAACGTGCATCATATCATTACATTTCCAGCAAAAGAAAAAAAAAAGAACAAGCCAAAACCATGCATGTACTGTCGGCCACTATACAAAGGAGAGGGAAGAGAAAAACTTGGCATCCTCTTCTTCCCGCTTGCTTAAGTGCAACCATCGCGGTTAAGTACAGTGCTCGACAAGGCACCTATTTACGTAGGACGTTGCACACACGTATGATATCGCCGTCTTGTAAGCTTTATACAAGAGAGAGCGCGCACGCATTGACCAACTTTCAATCCCCGGTCTTCTTCGCGGCTAGGAAGATTTTTCTTTCTTAACAACACGCCGTGAAGTTCTATATTATAGAGCAATAAGAAAAATAATCTTCTAAACGACGTCTTTGAAAAGGATACGATATTGAGAATGCTGCCACCACACGTATTAGGGTGACAGGATGTGGTTTTCATCTAAAAAAATCCATTAGAGGGTAGGAAAGATCACTCAACAACGCCTCAAGAGAAAAGCTGTAGGTGCCCGTGAGCGTCGGCGTTGCTGGCCCGAAGAGACTAGGCTTTCACCTGTAACCCTCCTACCCCTTGTGTCGAGATCGCTTACTGTACACAGAAGCCACCATCAACTACACTCCTTCGATGCACAGACACTGCGCCAGCACCTCACCACCAGCCGACCATCAAATAGAAGCTCGACATTCGACGCGTTCAAATCCATCAAGATAAGTAGAAGAGGGAGAGGGTGAGAGAAAAATAGAACCCTCTCCCTCGCACTAGTTTTCAAACGTGGTCATTTTGTGATGCCAAGGCACCGCCTCAAGAGAACTAGCGTCTTGATCGGGACTCACCATAGGCCTGCAACGTCCACGTCACGGCGCTATTGTCATAGCCACCTTGACTAGACTGCACGTGTCATCATAGGCCGTCTGTCTACATCGCCGTCACCTCGACCTATTGCTCCTTAGCGCCACTGGAACTACAGCCAGAGCACCGTCTGCCACTCTAGCTCAGTTGCCGTTGGTTGCGGCCTCCCGTCGCCCACGCCTCACCACTCTCAACGCCGTCACCGCATCGGCCTCTTACCGTTGATGGGTGTGCCAACCTCTACGCATGTAGGAAGATCGACCAAATCTTCTGTTAATATAGTAGTAGTGACTGATATGTGAATCCGAATCCATATGTTAGTATGTACTATTGTACCAATAATACTGCAGATAATCCCTACCAATTTTTCAGTGTTCGAGAATTGAAACCGGAAAGGAGGACAAGCGACCAGAGGTGATGGCGCAGAGCCAACAAGTGGAAGATAACCTGCTGATCGATCGATCACCGGGCGGTGTTAGGTTGCCTCGTTGAAAAGCTTCTGGAATTTGTACTGTCTAGTCCATCTGGCGTGTACTTTAGACCGGCCTTTTCCCCTGTCTCGATGGTTCCGTGATACTACTAATAATCCAACATGCTAATCTCTATCAGTACAAAGATTAACGCGTCACTAAAAAGGCCAGCTCATTCAAGATGAGCATCCCGTTGTCTTATCAATCGATCGGTTCATCCTTTGCCGTGCATATCCGTCAGGTACTAGATCTTGTTCTCTCTTTCTTTCTTCTTTTCTTTCCATTATTCCATACAATTAAGCAGAGAAAATTGTCTCGACATCCAAAAGCTTAAACTAACCACGAATACGGACAGCAAGTAGTAGTAACATTCAAGTCCCATTTTTTGATCAGGTGGTTGCCGAAAAGCGAACTGAAGTTGGCACAAAAGTACTACTCCTATGTACGCCACTGACTCATCGTGACTGAGGACAAGACAAACCGTACGCGCATCATCCCCCAAATCCCGAGATTTTCACAGCGAAAGTCAGCACATCAAAGAGGCACGCAGCCCACACACACACCAGTACACCACACCAACCTTCCCGGAGCCTCCCCTTCAATGCCTCGCCTCTGCCTATATAGGCAGGAGCAAAGCTACTGGGTGACACACAAACCATTGATAGCCTGTGCGTCTCCAAGAAGAGGCTTGCCGCTGCCGCCATTGGAGCCCTCTCGTTTCTGCTCGAGCTCTGCATTTCTTCAGTAGGAGGAGGAGGAGGAAGAGTTGGAGTCGCCATGTCGTCGTCCCTGCTCACTGACCTCGTTAACCTCGACCTGTCGGAGAGCACGGACAAGGTCATCGCCGAGTACATATGGTGAGTGAAGCTCCTGCTTGTTTCTGTCTTCTTTCTTCTTCTTCATGGCTGCTGCACTGCATAGCATATCTGATGGTTCTTGGAGGTGAGAGAGATCTTTTGTTGTTAAGTGTTAAGCTTAATTTGGGTTTTCTTCGGTTCTTCCTTCCTCTGGGTTAGGTGGCAGGTTGGTTCTTGTTGCATGTTAGTTACTGCTGTTTTTATGTGCCGATGTTTATTGGTTGAAAAAAACTGCCCTTATTTTTTTTTTTTTTTTGTGATTGCCTTTCAGGTATTTCACTGACGCCCTTTGATTTTTTTTTATTAGGCGTGTTTATTTGTGAGTAAGTTGTTTAAAGAGATCATGAACTGCATGTTTCTACAGGTTCTTGATTTGATTATAGGATTCATCTAATTCTGAATCATCATCAATTCCTTTTCATGGTTGTTCTCCTAGTCTCCTTATCCCAGAATGCCGGATCTTTACTTAGTATTTTACATTTAAAAGAGGTTAATCACGTAAGCATGTTGTTTATACTTACCAATCTGCTCCTAATCACACCATGTGTTCCCATAATTCAGGGTTGGTGGTACTGGGATGGATGTGAGGAGCAAAGCCAGAGTACAAACACTCTCTTTACACCCTGATATATATATCCTTTAATCCTTCTCTTGATATCTGAAAACTTGGAGCAATGACCCAGTAATTACCTGAAAGTTGTTGTGACTTGTGATTACTGCCTCTGATCAGACGTTGTCTGGACCTGTTGATGACCCAAGCAAGCTTCCAAAGTGGAACTTTGATGGCTCCAGCACCGGTCAGGCTACCGGTGACGACAGTGAAGTCATCCTCCAGTATGCTTCTTGTTTGTACTCTTTGATTTGATTACACCTTGGTGTGTGTGCATTACACTGATGTACCTTTCACATTTTTGTGACAAGCCCTCAAGCCATCTTCAGAGACCCATTCAGGAAGGGGAAGAACATCCTGGTAGAAGAATTTTTTCCCCTCTTTTCTGATTCATAGTTACAAAAAGCTTCTGGCATGAATTTTTGTTCATGATTCCTTTTTAACCATGCTGTAAATGTAGGTCATGTGTGACTGTTATGCGCCGAATGGCGAGCCGATTCCGACGAACAACCGGTACAATGCAGCAAGGATCTTCAGTCATCCTGATGTCAAGGCTGAAGAGCCATGGTCAGTATATATCTTTGTTATTCAGAGATGTAATCCTGATGTCAAATGGAACTTATGTTGGTTGCCAAATCAAAAATCAGGTATGGGATTGAGCAGGAGTACACCCTTCTTCAGAAGCACATCAACTGGCCTCTTGGCTGGCCACTAGGTGGCTATCCAGGCCCTCAGGTAATTCTGAACTTCTTATACACTTTCAGTATTGCATCTCAACCACAACAAATTTCTTCTCTTGTTTTTTCAAACTAGAGAAATTTATCAGTTATTATTGTCCTTTTTATGTTAAAATACCAGTTGTTACCTAAATCATTAACAAGGAAGAGAAGAATTACATTTACATACTGAATTTTATTCATTTCACTTGCTGATAACCTGACCAGCAATGTTTGCTAGTCAATTTTTTTAAAAACATAATGGAAATGGTTTACATCTTCGGCACTGAATCTTGAACAACGAAAATGGTGTGATAGGGTCCGTACTACTGTGCGGCGGGAGCCGATAAATCGTACGGGCGCGACATCGTTGATGCCCACTACAAGGCCTGCCTGTTTGCCGGCATCAACATCAGCGGGATCAACGCAGAAGTCATGCCGGGGCAGGTAGAACACATTTCTGAATTCTGCACACCTCGCGTTTCTGTGCCATTTTTTTCCCGACACTTTGTCCATGAGCTGATCATGCGTTTGATGTGCGATTTTGTGAGCAGTGGGAGTTCCAGATTGGCCCTGTCGTTGGCGTCTCCGCAGGGGATCATGTCTGGGTGGCACGCTACATTCTTGAGGTAGACTGAAAAAACAAACGTACAAAATCTGAACACATGGATTTCGCTGGAAAATTTTGATTCCATCATCTTTTTTTTTACATTTTTTAACCTTTGGAATCCTGCAAAATTCTTGCATTGGTTTTTTTTTTTTGGGCTGATAAGACATGCTCTTCTTTGGATTACAGAGGATCACTGAGATTGCTGGCGTCGTCGTGTCCTTCGACCCCAAGCCCATTCCGGTGAACACACACATTTCACCAAACATTTTCAATCTGATCTGCTCACTGATTCTCATTGCACATAAACATGTCATCTCTGAATCTGTATGAACATACGCTGCAGGGAGACTGGAATGGCGCCGGTGCTCACACCAACTACAGGTAAGCAAGAAATCATCTTCAAATCCTGCAAAATAAGATAAAAAATCACCTGCATTTCTGCAAAATCCCGTGCTGCAATGTGAGTATGTGACCTGCGGTTGCAGCACCAAGTCGATGAGGAGCAATGGCGGCTACGAGGTGATCAAGAAAGCGATCAAGAAGCTTGGCATGCGCCACCGTGAGCACATCGCCGCCTACGGCGACGGCAACGAGCGCCGCCTCACCGGCCGCCACGAGACCGCCGACATCAACAACTTCGTCTGGGTAGGACAAGATCGCTCGTCACACTCATCTCTAGTGAAAAATTTTAGTCTTAATAGGTACCAAAAAAAAAAAATTGAGCCCCACTACGTTACTCTCTACAGTTAGTAGAAAATAATCTGAACTATTAATCTCATTTGATCGAAGGGTTTAGATCTATTTGTACTACAACCCTAATTAGCGGTAGTAAAAATATGGAGGGACATTATTATAAAAAAAAGACGCGGAGAGGTATATAATCGTCATTTAGCAGTGATTAAATCTTTTTCCTTTATTTTTTTGTTTTTTTGATGGAATATGAATAATACTAGCGTAATGGATGGCCACATATCGATCTTGCCGGGAAAAAAATAAATAATAAAGTTATCCCTAATTACTATATTATGTACTAGCGTAATAGACAACCACATATCGATCTAGCCGGAAAAAAAATAAATGATAAAGTTATCTCTAATTATTATATTATGGTATCTCTTCAAAGATGGTAAAATAACTCAATTTATAGTACTCTGCTTCTGCTCCTCCTTTGCTTAACTCCGGCGACGTTTTTCTTGCTTCGTTTCATCCAGGGCGTAGCGAACCGCGGCGCGTCGGTGCGTGTCGGCCGGGACACCGAGAAGGACGGCAAAGGTAAAGGAGGCGTCGCCATTGATCGATGGGAGAAATTTCTGCTGCTTATTTTTGATGTTCGCGTGTTGATTTTCGGTTTTGGTTTGGTTTGTTTCGTCAGGTTACTTCGAGGACAGGAGGCCGGCGTCCAACATGGACCCGTACCTGGTGACCGCCATGATCGCCGAGACCACCATCCTCTGGGAGCCCAGCCACGGCCACGGCCACGGCCAATCCAACGGCAAGTGAGGAGGAGTCGCCTCGCCCGGGTTGATGAACTGCTTTCTCGCGTTCTGGGTTTCATGGAAATCTGTGTGTGTGTGTTCTCTGACGCTGGTGCTGTTAGAAACTTCCAATAATTCAGAAATAACTGCGATGTGCTCTCAAATTTCTCATGAGGCCATCACCTGCAGCATCTCATGAAATAGATCTATTGCAATGACAATACCAATGGCAACGCAAAATTTTATGGTACCTCCAGATACCATCTACTCTCCTCAATAATGACAATAAAATTGTTTCTCTGGGTTAATCAAACATCGAAAAATGATAATGAGAGAGTACAGATTAGAAGGTGTGAGCGCATACCTCAGGATCTAGAGTTCTAATTCTGATTGGACCTGTGGTAGAGCGGACTTATTGTGATTAGGGTAACCCTAGTACCCTACTGTGTGGTGGGTTAGGCTACCTTGGACACCCCAAAACGACACCACTTCAGATGTCTTCAAACACCATCTTTACTACACTTCTTACATTTTCGACATTGGAGAGAAACAATTTCTTGATTTTTTTGTCACTTTTATTGATGTGAGCCGCCAACTCAATACATAGAGGAGAAGGCTAAGGGCGCCAGTTTGGCTTGTCCAAATGTGGCGTCGACCATCCCGTAAGGCGATGGAGACGGCTAGAACGGGAGTGGCAAGGTTCAGATCCAGACGCTGAGGGAAAGATGGCTAGGAAGCTCTGATAGTGGTACGGTGGCGAGCAGAAGGATGTCAATGGTGGCTTCCACCATGGTGGAGCAGGAGGGTAAAGTTGAGAGGAAACCCTCACAATGGTTCCGATAAATTGTGTCACTTCTAGGGACATAACTACATTATCAAGATAGGGGGTGCCAAGAACTTGGTCAAGAAAATTTTTTAGCTAGAGTTCATCTATTTTTACCATTTATGCAACCTTAAATTCAAACTTAGTCACCATTATCAACTTAAATTCAGTCAAAAACATAGTAAAGTAAGTGAGTGGCATTCATCTTTATTTCGTTCTAGCTCCATCCCTGGCCACTTTCATAGGATTTTTTTTAAGACGTACATAAACTTGACTTGAAGCTCACGGTAGACCTAGTCAACCAGCTTGTACTTTTATGGGATGCAACCCAGAGGATCAACCTGAGCACAACAAACCTGAACCAAATCATTTGGATAGAGATGCCCATAGATTTGCAAATTGTCACTTCCACATGAACTCGAGGTAGATAATACCAAGCCAATTAATTGTTAAATAGACTTACAAGAGGGCCCAAAAAAACAGGTTAAAGAACCGAAAAAAACAAGCTAACAATTGAAACGTATACTACGGCTAATCAGTGGGCATGATCCACATCCCGATCTTCGCATCTGGAGCTTCGATGAGATTAACCACATCGATATCTCCTTTCTCTTCTACCTTGCACACCTCGAAACACTTCTTATGTGCGTAAGGGACGTAAACACTGTCCTTTTCCAACCCACATTCATCAGCCGCACGTGAAGCGCCGAAGTAGGCCGGAGCTAGCAAGAACGCGCGGCCACCAATGTCGTCCACTTCATGCCACTGCTGCTCGGAGAAATCCATTTTGTAGACGATGAGGTCGTAGACGGTCTCGAAGTCCCGGTCCAGCAACAGGCGCACCATGTACAGGTCATCCTCGGCCTCGACGAGGAACCCCAGCGCGGCACCCAGCACGCCGTACCCACCGGGGAGGGGGTCGGCGATCGCGATGGAGCCGAACACCGGCGTTGTCGGCGTCGGGGTGAATTCCAGCACGCCGACGCTCTCGGGCGTGGCGTTGAAGTAGAACTTGCCCCGGCAAGCGGCGATCGAGCGTATCGGCACCTTCTCGCGCTGGCCCTCCTTGCCCGGGCGGATGTCCCACTGCGTGCCGACGTCGTACTCGTGCCTCACCCACCCCTCACCCTCGCCGCCGCCGCCGCCGCCGCCAAAACGGCAATACCAGAGTACAGTGACATCTTCTTCAGTCTCGACGAGGAGCACGATGCAGCTTTCGCTGCCGTTAGGCTTGCCGGAGAGCCGGCAGGAGCAGGTGCTCGGCAATTCACGGGGAAGATGAGGCAGGGAGATCTTGCCGTCGGGATCCTGGGGGTTCTGCAGGAACGTGGAGGCGTCCGAGGCCGAGCGGACTAGGATCCACCCCTGCGGCGTCACCCAGGCGTTGCCGTTCGTCAGGCCGGGGATGTCGACGCCGCCATTGTTGTCGATGGCCGTTGCGTCCGAGATGCTGAACAGCACTGGCTTGTCCGAGTCAGCGCCGTGCTTCAGGGCCAGGCATGGCACGGGGGCGACGCGCGGCTCGTCCATGCGATCTGATCTCCCAATTTCCAATGTAACACCCCCTGTTCTCTATGGTTAAATAGACAACCACATACCCAAGAAATCCGAGTCGAAGTGGGATTTCGGTCGGAGTACAACCAGATTTCGTGTCGGTCACGGAGATCCCTAAGCTGCGTCAACTGCGACCTAATCGTATAATCTGCCTGTGACTGGGGTCTGGATTGTTTGTAATCATGGATGGTCAAGAATGGCATCCCATGAGAATGAGAGATCATAACTAGAAACGGCATTACAGATAAGCAAAAAAAACATCGATATATCGCTTATATAAAGTACCCTCTTCAGTTTCAGAACTGACAACATTATCGCCGCACACTTTACCGGACCTGCAGCAGAAACGCAGTATTGGCAAGAAAACGAGAACAGTTGATACATACACGTTTATTCGGGGAGAGATGTAAAAAGGCTATCAAACAGGAGGCCATAAAGAAAGTTCATGGGTAGCCTCAAAAGCATTCTAGAATGGCTCTTGAAAAGTTTATGTGATGACGGTGGGAGCAGATCGGCCAGTGTACTCTTGCATCTTTGACAGCTTCAGTGCAACATCAACCTGGATAAAGCAGATGGTCAGATTTGCTGAATTAAAGTCTGAAGAAAAAGGTCCGCAAACTTGCTCGGAAAACGGTCCAAAAGGCAAAGCCAATATACAGCGCGGATGTCTTACCAGAGGAGCAAGGGCATCCTGCGAATCCCTGCCGGTCTTGGAAGAATCCTTCTCATACTGCTCGATGTAGACACGGATAGTAGCACCAACAGAGCCAGTTCCAGAGAGGCGGAACACCTAGAATTTGAGGAACTAATGGTCAGTTCACCAGTATTTGTTGCACTCACACTCTGCGATAAACACCCGAATTTGCAATGCCAAATTGTGCTACTTCATTTGCTTTGGTTCAAGAAACAAAATGAAGGATATTATAAGGTCAACAAACAATAACAGAATGGGACCATACCAGCCGGGAACCATCTCCGAAGAGGTACCGGACACCCTGATGCTTGGAGACAGAACCATCAACAGGATCCTTATACTCAAACTCATCTGCGGCAACCACATCAGAAACATCTGACCGAATCTCCTTGATCAATCTGAGGATATAAGGTACAGTTTAGAGCTAGTACTGAATGAAAATATTTTAGCTAACTGGAAAACCACTAGGCAGTAGCGACCATAAAATAACATTAATGAAATACTACAGAGCTGTGCAAAGTGGCAAAGAACAAAACACAACAATCAGATGTATGCAAAATTATTCATTCATTTAAAATGAAATAGACTGATTTCTATAGCAGCTGGCGAAGTATTGATCGCTCCCTAAATCATGGGTTAGTGAACAATGTACGTACTTGTTAACATCAGAAAGGGACGACTGCATGCTGACAAGGTTTGCCATAAGTTCTTTAGCAGCTCCAGCATCAACATTCTTCAGGAAGAAAAAAATGGCATGGTTAGCATGTTGCCAAATGTATATACATACACATAAATGTACATTGAATATTTGTGTAAAGTACCTCATAGTCATATCGTGTATAATAATGGCGACCATAAGTACCCCAGTGCTGGCGAACAATATCTTCAACAGTAACAAGCTTATCGCCTCCAAGGTTGTCCTTGTTCTTGAAAGCAAGAATAGATAACCATGCTAGAACAGCCCAAATACCATCTTTCTCACGAATGTGATCAGAACCTAAACAACATAGTAGGTATAAGCATCCTGGTGAGCTAGTCATATCCTGACTGCAGTGTGACTCATTATTTAAATGTGATCCACTTGATTTTCATTGATGCATGATATTTTACCCAAAATAAGAACATTCCGTTGCGTATGGAAACAATAAAAGGCCATTGCCCTATTCCTTTAGCTAAGCCAAGTTTGTGGAATATCCTAAATTCTCAATAATTAGAGGTGCCACATATCAAAATGCATGAAGTTACATGCATTTTATTCACTGCTATATGTCATTGTGTTCCATAGATCAAGTTCATAGTAATTACCAGTGCCAAAGCTTTCTTCACCACAAATTGAGCACATTCCAGCATCCATCAAGTTCCCAAAAAATTTCCACCCAGTAGGCACCTGAAATATGGTTTTCATATGATATGCTTGTCCGGCATTTTGAAAATCATGTGACTGACGGTCCTAATACTTACCTCAAAGAACTTGAGATTCAAATTCTTAGCGACAACATCAAGGGCAGCTGATGTGGGCATGCTCCTGCAATTTTATCAATAGATCAACATAAGGTAGCACAGCGGTATTTTACATCCTTTCATTAAAAGTTCTGACTTAGAAGTTTACTGCAAATATGGTCAGTTAACACCTTTGATGGATGAGAATTACATTATTCTTGCATATTGACATAATATCAGAAAGCAAGTGAATTGAAACATCAATGCCACGATCAAAAGAAACGTCCAGTTTCTGTTCAGATTCTTGGATCCTAGACCAGTGACAGCTATAAGCAGCAGACAGCCGCCGATATAGGTATGTCAGATGTCAGTCATCTTCATCCAGGGTTCCATCTAACAGTTATTGTTTGATAAAAGATTCAAGAATGGATGGTAGGCAGTATGGGGTCTTTTTTTTTCATCTGTTTGTTTTATTTGTGCTGTTTTATCAATCCTGGATCCTTTGCTTCTTCTTTTTTGTAGTACAAATTCTAGCAAACACTAGCTACGGAGTCCAGTACCGAAGAGGCTAGATATCAGAGCACTAACATTCCAGGATTTTCAGCAATAAACATAACCAGTCAATCCCCATCGGGAAATTGATCTTTTCTAATATCCTAATATTAGCATTGTATGATGAACACTGAATTTCATGCTTGTTTGGATGCACATTCAGAATGAAAGATGCGATTTACCACAGTGAATGCAGTATGCAACTTAAAAGCCCCCATTAAAAAAAATTGTAAACCAGAAAAGTG